ACCACTATCCGTCTCTTCGCGTTTCCGCGGCCTTCCACGTTTCTTGACACTAACCGTTGGGTGCGCGATACCCAGTGTCCTTTCAGCTACGTCTCCTCTGAACACTCCCTGAACACCCTCTCTGCTTGCACCCTGGCTCCCCCCTTTTTATTTTTTTTATTTTTTTATCTTTTATTATTTTTATATATTTATTATTTTTATTTATTATTATTATTTTTTTCTTCCTCTATCACATGTATCATCTTTCCCTTTTTCCTTCCTCTATATAAATGTACCCCCCTCCCCTCCCCCTGTGCCTACTCCTCCCCAGTTTTTGGTGCTCTGAAGTGTCGCTGAAGCCAAGACCTCAGGTCGGCGGAGATGCTCCAGTTTCACCACCACAGTTGCGTCTGCAACCACCTCTACCATGCATGATTCTGTTCTCGAGGTTCGTGGTTTCTCGTAAAAGAAAAAAAAATTGCGGATTGCTATTGAGCTTCTTACTCCAACTTGTCCGGTGTCCGATATTGAGGTTAGTTTTCGCGGTCTACCACGTTTTCGAATATTGACTGTTGTTGTCACTTCCGTTGTCGTTGTACGTTCGTCCTCACCAGTCCGTATTTTCACTTGGCTTCTCGTCACCCTTTCCGACGCCGACAGATCCTTTGTCAGTTTCGGGGGTTTACGTGTCGGTCTTTCACCGTGTCGGATAGTGGTGATGCCACGAAGAGGCGAGATGACGGGACATTGGAGGAGACAACACCCAATGGAGCTAAGAATCGCACTTCGTCAATCAAGCAACATCTGTCAGCCGGTACCAATTGTCGTGAGTTGTACAGTGATAATGTTTTCTCAATATTGTCACGTGGTAGATGTGCGTTGCATTTGGCTGTGTTAGAAGCTTTGTATATCCGTAAGTTAGATCCTGAACTTTGCGTACAGAAAGAAAATGTGTTGTCGCTACAATTGTTTGGTGTTACTCCTCGTCGAGGTGGTAACAATGTAACTTAATTTGCTCACTATGTTGTTGTCACTATTATTATTTTCCTTCGAGTTTTGTGTCGTGCTAAACTTGATAATTTTCCACCTTGTCACGAGTGTTGTTATCTAATTATCTTTACGCTATATAAGTTTTAGTCTTTCCAACTTGAGCCATTCCCTGTATAATCCTTGATGAGAAGGGACCGAAAACGTTCGGATACTTATGACAAGTGCCTTATTATGACTGGATGTGTGTTTGCGTGGATACTTGCGACCCATAACTTACCTTCGTTTTAAAGTATTAAGGACGTTTAGCAATGCGAAAGTTCGAAAGAAAATTCGAGTCTGGGAATGAGTACAGAAAAAAAGCTCGAAACTTCGAAAACTTGGACGCGAAGTTGCAGTGATTTGCGAAAGTAACTTTCTCTTTTCTCGGTACGCATTTGACTACAGGGAGTAGTAATGTTACAGCCCCCTGCTACAGAGCTGCATATACGGTACGGTACTATAAGATTCAAATAACTTCGAGAAAAAGTCATTTCGCATTGCTATTAAAACCTCACAAGTTTTCTTTTTCGAAATGGATTTTCGCGAAATATCACCACCACAAAAAGTTCGAATTTTCGCATTGCTAAACGTCCTTATTATCCGCCTCCAACCTCTTTTAAAAATTATTATTATTATTATTTTAAACTCGGATGTTGAGCCATAAATAAATGTGGAAGAGAAAAAGACATATGGATACGAGTTAAGAGTAACTCTCCATCACTGTAACATGATACTATATACAGTCAGAAAGTGCAATAACTAGGCACTTTCTGACTGTACACGTATATAGTATCATGTTACAGTGATGGAGAGTTACTCTTAACTCGTATCCATATGTCTTTTTCTCTTCCACATTTATTTATGGCTCAACATCCGAGTTTAAAATTGCACACCTGATGAGCCGTCACAAACCATACGGCGAAACGTACGTCGTGTGAAACAACTTGTTTTGTAGTCAACTAGTCCATCATAATGTCATGCATGAGGAGTACTGTAGGAGTTTGGCTTTCGGCTTGTACAATTCGTTTTCGCAAAGCTTCCCTTTCTTTACTTATCTTTGATATTTATGACCCACCCAAGTTGGGTGGTGTGCTGCTTTGCTGCTTCGAATTGTAGTTAGACCGCTTTGTCAAATATCGTACTGGTCTCGTCATCGTCCAGTAACAATCGACATTCTTTGTTCCGTTGGGACTGTAGCTTTTGCTCGTTTTCGTTGCGCTTGCCTTCCCCTCTTTGGTCTTTTCCATAACCTTGAACCTTCCAAGTTGGAAGGCTGTCGGTTAGCGCTACGGAGATGTGTTGAAGCTAGGTGTCAGGACGTCGAATGTTTCAGTCTCTGTCAGTTTTTTGTGCCTAGTTATTGCACTTTCTGACTGTATATAGTATCATGTTACAGTGATGGAGAGTTACTCTTAACTCGTATCCATATGTCTTTTTCTCTTCCACATTATTATTATTATTAAATTTTGAATAGGGCAGTCCCACAGGCCTAGGGCCTTTTTACAGGGTACCAGGGAGTCGTAAAATACCGGTATTTTACGACTCCCTGCAGGGTACCCTATGAATTGTTGAATAGATGAACAGAAGTTTCTGAGCAAGGGGATGTAAAGAATATCTCATGAGTACGAGGGTGATACCGGCGAATATCAATCCCGACTGCGAAGCAGAAGGGATTGATATGAGGGTACGGTATCACCCGAGCTACGAGGGTGATATTCTACTTATCACATATGACCCTACGAACCTAACACGTACGACCGTCATATCCTGCTTATCACATGCTACATGTGTACATCGAGTCCATAAACATAAACATGATACTACAATTGTAGTACTACCCACTACTGTACATGTAGTAGATTTGACCCTGTGAACTGAATAGGACATCGCATTGTGTGGAGACCCTCTCCGATGCCACACCCATTCACCCCCGTCTGACATATCATTCGCGGGATAGAAATATTCAAAGCTTCGAATTGTTTTAGTTGAAGTCTAAGCAGAAGTGAAAGGACATCAATGTAAAAGAGTCCCAGGAAATAGAGATAGAAGAGAAGATGATGAAAATGAAGCAATATACTGCACTGTATCTGAGAATTAGCGCTGCTCACAGGCTTTGACATCATGAACGTGGATGTGAACAGCGCCTGCGAAGTTTCCGGAGAAGATGAACTTTGCGCTGTTCTCCGAACTGACACACGATGAGGCTGGCGAGGCTGGTGGTACTTGTGGTCTTTCCAAGGCTTCCAATTCAGCCGGAGTTGACTCCTGCAGAGCTTTATCAACCTCCGCATTGAGCAGGCGAGCTGTAGCAATCTTATCTTGCTCGCTAGGCTGCAAGTAAGCTGTTAGGCACTTGTATTTCTGAACCCCTGAGACACTGTGATATGTGATGACGAACCAGACAAGGTAGGTGAGATGCTCGGGGTTGTTTTTCCAGTCTTAGTCCGGTATACCCTTTCCTTGGTTATGTACATACAATTATCCCTTCACTGTGCATAGTTCGAAGCTCCCCCCCCCCCCCCACACACAATGGTTGCCTCTTTGCTTTGTCATACCACAACCATTCAACGCGGTGAACCCCTCGATAGGCGATTTGCCTTTGAGTCATCCTAATAAAGTTATTATTACCATAATGTTACGCTTGAGGTCTTGTAGGCTGGCGGTGAATAGCACTGCGGAATTGCAGCAAACTGTTCTTGGAGTACGAAAGCTTGTTGATCTGCCTAATTTCCACATACGCATGCTTTAGGATTGAGGAAAGGTTGGTAGCTGAGATGGTTTTCAGATCACATTTTTTCTTATAGACTGTACACCAAACATCCGAGACACGTTGGTGGCTCGCTTCGTGTTGGTTGAAACACGGCTTTCTCGGATTCTGTCGATCTCATCCTCCGACACTTGCACAAATCGTTGAGACGTTTCTTCTACAATACTTGGCTCGGATGTTACACGTTTTTCCGTGGTGGTCTTCTCCAGTACTTCGCCATTCGACAAAGTTGCAGTTGCGGTTGATGATAAAGAAAAATCAGACACTTCGGCTAGTTCGCTGGGTGATAAAAAATTGAAATAATTTGCAGCAGCCTCTAAAAGCTCTTGATCTTCCAAGTCACCTTCACAAACGCCCAAATCAAAGCTAGCCATTTTTCTCACGAGGACACGATAAGGACAAGCTTTAGAAGAAGAATGGTAAGTTTCTGTTTGTGCTTACCCTCGCCTTGTCATTCTTCATGGTAGGTCAACTTGGATGCGTACTATAGATGGAATTGCATATGTAAGGAATTCATTATTATCACTAGCCCCTCCACATAGACCCCCTCCCACAATCCCAAGCCAGCTGGCCGAAGGAGGGCTGGGGGGGGGGGGGGGGCTGGCGACGGCAGTGAAATCCTAATTACCGGTATGCAGTTTCAGCTACAGTACGCATTCGAGTATGTGAGTACCAATGGTACTGTACTAGGTACGCAGCCGGGTGTGATATGGAGCAGCAGGGGTGATATCGGCCTATATCACCCGCCTAGGAAGGGCAGTGATTGGCCCATTCCTAGGAAACGGTCACCTGATATGTGATAATGTGCGAATATCAGATTTGCCGCCAAAAATCCACTTCTACAGTCCTGTATGGTCACGTGAATCCGTTCGCGCGAAATTTGCATCTGCATGCTGCAGTCACAGTGCAGTGCTGTTCAAACCAGGCGCGAGATACGCACATAAGTACGTTTGTACGATTTTCTTGACCGGGTTGATTTCAACCCTCCCCTTGCTTGGGGGGGGGGGAGGGTTGAAATCAACCCGGGGCGAAATTTCAACCCGGGTCAAGCGCAATGCGTCATGTAAACGCGCCATTCATTTTGTGCACATGGCGGGTTGAAATCTGACCCGGGTCGAACTCAACCCGGGTTGAAACGCTTCATGTAAACCAGGGAGTAGTACAATACCGGGAGGTGACACGGCCACACATCCGGGATTACGAGCTTTGCCTCACCAAAAAAATACAAACCGCGCGAAAATTCAAATTTTTGCTCTTTTGACAGCGCTGAGAAACCTTCAAATAGTGACGAGAAGACCAGACGTATCCCTTCGTGACAAGCTGCCACTTGTTCTTTTCAGCTCGAGCCTTTTTTGGGAGCTACTCTGGTACATCGTCCACACTGCTGCCAAGTCTCGACTTCCCAAAATGGATGGAAGTGACGAATATGGAGGACGCTATCCTAGGTAAGTAACGTGATGGAATTTTCTCATCTTGACATGGTGTAACACGAACCTGAATTTCTCATTTGGACACCTCACCAAGTTGGGATATTTCGAAAGTATACCTATTTGTCTACCATTCTACTTCATCTCAACGTGTTAGCTTATGTAACTCTTTGTAAAACTCATTCTGAAAATTTTGAAACTTATTAATTTGTATAGACTTGAACATAATGTTCAAGATCACTTGTTTTCAGCACTGAATGAGGCCAGGCCTGCTTGCTTTGTTGCTTTTTTAACCCCCAGAACCCGTGGACAGAAGAGGAAGAGCGACGACTTGGGTGCGGCTGCGAAGTCTGCCTGCCCAACGCCAATTGCTCCTCACCCAAAAAGTAAACAAATTATATAGCAGGAGTGGTTTCAAGTGGTTTCAATGCATTTTGTTTTGGGGATGTTGGTGTGTACTTATGCAGTCCTAGCGTGTTGAGCAATAGCAATCATGAGAAGGGTATAATTCTGCAATACAACATTGTTGATTATAAATATGACACTGAAGCAATACTGAAACTACGTTTTGGGGTTGTATTTGTTTTCATGCGTGTTCTACAGCGCACCCCATTGACGAAGATCATCCTTGTATAGACGATGATAAAATACTCTCATCTGACAAGGTTAGTTGCACAGTTCTACCATATGTGTAAGGTGGACGTCGGATATAACATGGCTTATCTCTTTTTGGTATGCCATCTACTGCACAGAACACGTCATCAGAAGTCACTGCCTGCTGCGAATAACAGCGCATCGTGTATGACAATCTCTTCACCAACAAGTGCTACCCGTAAGTCAGACAGCAGAGTACAGTCATTCAATAATAGCCAAGTAAGCCCATGCTTTATATGCTTATATGACAATAAGCTGATGGAGGAAAAACAGATCCAATTACATAAAAGTACGCCCAAAAAAGCAACGGCCAAACACGCACACACCAGAACAATTTCAATGCTCTTCATGCACACCAACTAGGCTTATAAATCTGCACAGTGTACGTAAATGAAATATCTTATCCGCAGATCGCATCTGACTTGTTTGATAAAACCTGCAGCAAAACAAAAGCACAACACAGACATATCGATGAAGCCTGTGTGGTTTTATGTTTGTTCTGATTCATACAGCCTCTTGTCCATCGTCACATGAAGAACATGGACAGCCGCAAGCTGGAAATGATTTCTCAACAGCAGAGAAGAACGATACTATTACGTTCACACCCTTGACACAGACTTGCGTCATAGTGACATTTGCGAATAGCTGCCCCTGCAGTATATTTTGTGTTTCTCTCTGACGACTATAGCATCTGGATTCGGAATAGCCTTACTATCTTGAGACGGGTCAGCCATACCTGAAACATGTTGTTCATTGTGACTAAAACTTGAGTCAACATTATCTATTCCCCTAGAAACGACGTGAATAACTAAATGTAATACAAATTAAATTAGGAAGAAAATTTCACTCTTACAAGCCGCCCACGTAAATACTGGACACACTGAAGGTACCCGTGCGAAGGCCAGCTGCTACTTGATATCCTTCGTAGGATTCATCCTCATCACTCAGCAAAGACTGATGGATTCGTTCCCTACATCGTCAAAACAAACTTCAAAAAGTACTGCTCGAAAACTTCTTGACAGCATTCTGCCACTCTCTTCAAGTCGTTCTATGAATTTTTTTGAAAAATGCTACGAAATGCTACGATAAATGGTACGCGAAGTACGATATTTCGTGACGTTTCCCGGGACACAGCGCGCGAAGTACGATATTTCGTGACGTTTCCCGGGACACAGCGCTCCACAGAAAAGTGACCTGAGGCAAAGCTCGCCCGCCTGAATGTGTGGCCGTGTCACCTCCCGGTATTGTACTACTCCCTGATGTAAACACAGCCTTACTCTTCTATTCCCCCTGCTTCAAATCGGTGTGGTCTTTTTTCTCTTAGTTTTCTAGGCAGGCAGGCATAGTGGGATGGTCTAAGACCATGATTGAGAAACAGAGGGTACCAGGTTCAAGTCCTGCTTGGAAGCGGAAGGAATTTTTCCAGCCGTGCTGCGACCCACAGTTAATTGGGAACTCGTGGCCTGGCACGAGGGTAACATGGATGCAGCTAATGGGATTTCGGTCTTTGACCACTTGGTGGTGGGTCTGATCCAGGGAGCCCTACACATACGTGTAGGGCTCCCTGGTCTGATCTACTCACCTCCCACCGTTTAGGCGCTGCATCTGCGCCTTTGATCCTAGAGGGTGGTGGCGTTCCCACGGCGGATGCGGAAAACTCGGCTTCCAGCCGAGTCTCACGCGAACCGTGAAATTTATTTTAATTTTTCTAGGCTCAGATCGTTGGAACTCTCTCCTGCTGACATTCGCCTATGCACATCTGTTTCTCGCTTCCGTAACCTTGTATTGGCACATTTAGGATACCCTGCTTGAAGGCCTTGGGCCTGTGGGGATTGCCCTATCAAAAATTTAATAATAATAATAATAATAATAATTGACCAGGGATCGCACAAACCCTGAGTTTTGACGGGTCTATACGACTCGGATCGTGGCTCTTGACCTTTCAAACGAATGAAAAACGCAAAATGTTTTTGGCACCTACATGATGTATGATCAGGGGACCACGCCTGGTAAAACAAAAACTTGGTCGGTGTACGAGATGCACGAACAGTTTTCGTAGGGTGAGTACTTTTTCATGTAGCACTGAATGCGGCAAGTCGGACTAGGCCTTGACGGATTATGCTAATATTTTCGTGAAATTATGCTTTTCGCATTGCTGAAAAAATTGCAGAATTATGCTATTTTTATGCTAAAAGCTATCAAATTATGCCGCATTATGCTCACATATGCTGCTAATGTACATGTATAATGATGGTTCTGTGCAAAATAACAGGGATTTTTTTTGTATATGGCGTTGTACTGTAGTAGCAAAAGTTCAACGGGGTCTATGCACCGTCCGACCTACAATTGTAGCTACGACCGTCACTGATTGTAGTGGACTGGACATGTTATCAAGGGAGTCGTAAACCTACATGTATGACTTCCTGGTGCATCTACTTGAACTTGTACTTGTAGAACATGTACAACTCTATGGAATTTGATGCAAACAGGCGGATTATTCCATTATTTATGCAATTTGTATGCAATTTGCCTCGAATTATGCGATTATTCGATTTTGGTAGGAATTATGCGAAAAATTATGCTAGCATAATCCGTCAAGGCCTAAGTCGGACTCGCCCATCCTCCCCTGCCCATCCTCCCCTGCCCACCTGAAGCGTCGAGGAGGTAGGGGCCAGGGCGCTCTGGCGGGATTTTACGGAACATGTACGTTTGCCACTCAAAGCCCTTCTATTTTTTTTTTTTTTTAAACTTTCCGAAAGACTCGCAGTAACCAACAGAAAATCACGGAGTCATAGCAAAACAAAACAAGATCATCGGATAATAAAAAGTGTGGCTAGACACGGCTACTCCGCAAGAGTCTCAGTCACGCAACTGGCAGTCGTTGACTGCCAGCACAACAGGAGTGGCAGCATCCAAACGACTGCGCAAAGCCCTTCTATGGAGTTTCTCAATCTGTACGAATCTCGCCAGAGTATGCTCAGACCACGCAGCTCGCAGTGGTGGTTATAGTAGGCGATTCACACGACAGGCAAATCCACGTTTGTCAAGTGCCCGCAGGAAGTGAAACGTGAGGCGCTAGGCCGCAGTTCAGTCTCTCACACGGCCGCGGGTGGCGGCCAGAGCTCCCGCTGTGAGTATCCGGTGAGTATACGGCGTTACTGTGGTGATTTGGAATGAGTACCCAAAAACAAAGGTCAAACAACCAGGGTTCAAGACTACCGTACCATAGACATAGTACGACCTCACAGCCTCATAACTGTAAAAGTGCCCGCAGATGAGTGCATCCGCGGGCAAAAAGGCCATGGACACTTTTGATTCCCGCGGGCAAATTTTGGTCACCCGCAGGAATATCTCCATGGTGACTTTCCTGTAAACGTGGATTTGCCTGTCGTGTGAATCGCCTATAATAGGCCATTCACACGACGGGCAAACTTACTTTTACTTTTATCGTACTGTTTCCAAGGATATTTACTCGGATACGATAAACTTGGACACACGCGTGCAACTGATTTTTTATCTTGGCCGAGGCCCTTTTGCTCGCGATTATCTTTGCACGCCAGGAAAAGTGTCGGTTGTTGAAAGTGCGTACTGCAAATACAGTGCTTGAACAAGGGAAAATTCAAAATTGAACATTTCCCGGCATTTTCAGGAGGTCACTATGGATACATTGACGGTTGCAAAGTTTGCCCAGCGCTGATGCAGCACCGTGTGAACTGGATCACGGTTTGCCAGTGTTATCTTGGTCACACATGTGCAAATATTTACACGTCGTGTGAATGGCCAAAAAGTATAGGCCATTCACACGACGGGCAAACTTACTTTTATCGTACCGTTTCCAAGGATATTAATTTTACTCGGATACGATAAACTTGGACACACGCGAGCAACAGATTTTTTATCTTGGCCGAGGCCCTTTTGCTCGCGATTATCTTTGCACGCCAGGAAAAGTGTCGGTTGTTGAAAGTGCGTACTGCAAATGCAGTGCTTGAACAAAGGAAAATTCAAAATTTAACATTTCCCGGCATTTTCGGGGAGTCACTAAGGATACATTGACGGTTGCAAAGTTTGCCCAGCACCGTGTGAACTGGATCACGGTTTGCCCGTGTTATCTTGGTCACACGCGTGCAAATGTTTGCACCAGGGAGTAGTACAATATACTACTCCCTGGTTTGCACGTCGTGTGAATGGCCTAATAGAGAGGTTTCGCTTCACGTTGTTCTGCACTACACCGTGAAATTTCACGTCGGTGTGGCAAATTTTGGCGTCGAAACTCCCGTTCATGACGTGAGCTGAGGTCAACTCACGTTCGACGTGAACGCGAGTTTTTCAAATTTAGCCTTGCTATCAGGTTGGGATTATTGACTCGATTTTGTCGATTTTGCCTAAACTAGCTATAAATAATATTTGTGCGACTTTGGCCTCACCAAAAATCACTTTTTTCACTTTTTGAAGTTTTCGCTCCCAGTTTTCGCTCCTGTCGTCAGCGAAACGACGTGCTTCACAAACAACGTGAAACGAAAGCTCTTTCTGAGCTCGCGTCGACGCAAAAAATTGACGTTCACGTAAGAGCACAAATCACGCGGGTCGAAACCTCTCTATTATAGGCCATTCACACGACGTGCAAACATTTGCACGCGTGTGACCAAGATAACACGGGCAAACCGTGATCCAGTTCACACGGTGCTGGGCAAACTTTGCAACCGTCAATGTATCCATAGTGACCCCCCGAAAATGCCGGGAAATGTTAAATTTTGAATTTTCCTTTGTTCAAGCACTGCATTTGCAGTACGCACTTTCAACAACCGACACTTTTCCTGGCGTGCAAAGATAATCGCGAGCAAAAGGGCCTCGGCCAAGATAAAAAATCTCTTGCTCGCGTGTGTCCAAGTTTATCGTATCCGAGTAAATATCCTAGGAAACGGTACGATAAAAGTAAGTTTGCCCGTCGTGTGAATGGCCTATTAAGGCCTCGGTCACACTACGGCAGTTTGAAGCTGGACGCAGCGTCAAGCCGCAGCACTTGACGGAGACGTGGGGTCACACATATGACTGCCGCGGCTTGACGCGTTTGTCTACGTCACAAAACCACCAGGAAAACTCAATGACGACACGGATTCCCACGGAAACCGGCCTTTTGCTTATTATACTTGCAAGTACAAAAAAATTGTCGGACAAAGTTTTCGAATTTTTCATTGATTTTTGATTACAAGAAGACGAAAGGTACTAGGTCCACGCGTGCACGATCGTTGTTGTTTCTTTCCGAATTTGAAGCCATTTTCAGTTGTAGTGTCATTGATCAGGCAAGAAAAGTCCGCATCGCAGCTGTGTTTCTCCTGACTTCCTCATACTGGTTGCCCTTTTTGGGGCTCTTGACGACAACACAGCACTCACAAGTCAACAGGCTCCAGTTGGCCGATGACCCACTCAAACAACTGGTCCTTTCTCGACATCATTTTCTTCTCAGAAAACGCCTCGCTCTTCCGCCAGGTTCGGAGCAGAGCAGCCTCGGCCTCGTAGGTCCAAGGACTCATCTCGAACAAAAAGAGGGAACAAAACAAACCTTGAACAGACGAATGTCGAATAACTGCTCAACTCAAGCAAAGTGTCTTGAAACTAATTTTACTTGAAAGACACTGTTTTTCCGCCAAGCGTCACTCCCATCAGCGGCAACGCAGCCGATTTCCCCACGTCAGACGCAGCAGCGTCTGACGCTCAAACTTCCCGCGTTGCGTCAGTTGCCATGGAAAAGCTCATGATTCTGACGCTGACGCAGCATTTTTGCCGTAGTGTGACCGAGGCCTTATAGGGGATTCACACACACGGGAAAACCTGAGGTCACGGGACAAGGTAAAAGTTCAGACCGTCGGGCAACTGAGTGGGGCCGTTCACACGCGTGGTCACTTTTCCCTTGGCCTCATGTCTGACCATGAATTTGTGGCGGGGGAGTACAAAACGTAGTCTGTACTGCATTTTTGTAGTACATTTAGTACTATGTTTCGCATTCGCAATGCGCAATGCGTGGGTCCATTGTCTGCAATGGGTGCGAGCGCACTGCCTGAAAATGCGGGTTGCGATGCACTCGTACAACTAGGGTTCAGAGTTCTCGCCAAAGACAAGATCTACGCATGTGCGTCGAATAGCCGTGGACTTTTTCCCTTGACAAACGCCCTGAGGCCCACGGCCACGGCTTTGCCAATTTTTTCCCGACAGATTCTTCCTTTCCCCCAGTACCATAGTTTCCATAACAACTTTCCCATAACCGTGGTTTTACCCGTGTGTGTGAATCCCCTATTAGCGATTCACACGACAGGCAAATCCACGTTTGTCAAGTGCCCGCAGGAAGTGAAACGTGAGGCTGCAGTTCACACGGCCGCGGGTGGCGGCCAGAGCTCCCGCGAGTATCCGGTGAGTATACGGCGTTACTGTGGTGATTTGGAATGAGTACCCAAAAACAAAGGCCAAACAACCAGGGTTCAAGACTACCGTACCATAGTACGACCTCACAGCCTCATAACTGTAAAAGTGCCCGCAGATGAGTGCATCCGCGGGCAAAAAGGCCATGGACACTTTTGATTCCCGCGGGCAAATTTTGGTCACCCGCAGGAATATCTCAATGGTGACTTTCCTGTAAACGTGGATTTGCCTGTCGTGTGAATCGCCTATTATCCTTTTTTTGTACACAGTTGCGTGGGCATGACGCTCTGATCAGGCCCGAGGTCTGTGAGTGATCTTGCCCGAGGTCGCGACGCCCAAGGGGCGTAGCCCCGAGGGCGTCGCGACCGCGGGCAAGATCACTCACATGACCGAGGGCCTGATCAGAGCGTCATGCCCGATGCAACTGTGTAGGATTGCGGTTCAGACAAGGCCCACATATATGGAGATGTTCAAAGAGAAAAAAGCCTTGGCAATGGCAAAATGCCGCAATGTCACATTGTGTGCAATGTCCATCACAAACAGATTTGTTTGGTCAGGACTTTCCACTCTTGAGATGAAAGTATTCAAGTACAGTGAAGGCAGTAGTAACGTTAGTATTACCAGTAATATGATTGGTTGAATAAACCCGTTCTCTGAGTAAGATTGATGATTGTCAGAGTAAGGTTCGAATGCTAGTGCTGAGAAGCTACACTTTTGTTGAGGTCTGCTTCCCTTACGTGCGTTTCGCCGAGCAACATGCCCAGCTGCAAGGTTGGATGGCGTTTCTGGCCTCCCTACAGACGTTCAAGACGTTCAAGACAGTAGTGAGTAATTTTGGAGAAGCGAGACAAATTTTGAAGAACTCGTCGGAGATGTTGACCAAGGCAAGGACTTCGAAAAATGGTAAGTACGCATGTGCGGCGCGGTGCTGTATGACTGCTGTTCTTGCCCGGATATGCGGGCAAGAACAGCAGTTGTACCGTATCGCGTACAGAATAGGCGGGCAAGATCTACTGATCTTGCCCGCTTATTCTGGCCGCTCATTGGCTGTGGCCTGGCAACAAGCACGTGCCATGTCTGAACAGCTATTCTGGATTATACATCTATGAAGAATGTGATGTCAAGCATATCATTGTGCCCACATGCTTTCCATGTTACAATTTTTCCTTGGCTCACCATCCGAGAACAGTGATTCAAACGACCCACGTGCCCTTTGCTAGGTTACGACCAATCAGCAGCCTCGGAGAGCGGGCTTTGATATTCCATCAAAGCCCGCTGTCATTGACAACCTGTACGAGAAAACCATCAAAGCCCGCTGCCATTGGCAACTGCACGACAAAACCATCAAAGCCCTGATCATGCCCAATCGCAGTCTTTTCAAGGTGATCTGGCTATAAGAACAAGAAACCGATAGGGGTGGTGGTCGGGGATGCGGTGGCTCTCAACTACTTGTGGAGTTGGAAATCTAGCTGCAGCACTGCAGAAATACATAATCCTACACAGTTGCGAGGGCATGACGCTCTGATCAGGCCCGAGGTCTGTGAGTGACATGGCACGTGCTTGTTGCCAGGCCACAGCCAATGAGCGGCCAGAATAAGCGGGCAAGATCAGTAGATCTTGCCCGCTTATTCTGTACGCGATACGGTACAACTGCTGTTCTTGCCCGCATATCCGGGCAAGACAGCACTCCATCAACCTTGGCAGTGAGGCGGGTGCGTCCAGCTGGCTCACGTGTCGCCCCCTCAGTCGGCATGGGTTCAGCTTGTCAAAATGTGAATTTCGCGATGGTCTGGCATTGCGGTATGGCTGGCACCCTGCACGGCTCCCTTCTACTTGTGTCTGTGGTGCCACCTTCTCTGTTGAGCATGCTCTCTCTTGCCCCACTGGTGGTTTCCCGACGCTTCGCCACAATGAGGTACGGGACATCATCGCTGGCCAACTGAAGAAGGTGGCACACAGCGTAGAAGTAGAGCCTCATCTCCAACCCCTCACCGGCGAGCTTTTCCGCTACCGGACGGCGTCCACCGAGGATCAAGCCCGTCTGGATGTGGCGGCGAGTGGCGTGTGGGGAGGACGGTTTGAACGCGTTTATCTTGATGTACGGGTGTTTAACCCTTTCGCTCCTTCAAACCGTTCCTCTTCTCTCGCTGCTCGCTACCAGAGCCATGAGCGAGAGAAGCGTCGCAGGTATGGTCAGAGGGTGCAAGAAGTTGAGCGAGCCTCCTTCGTACCTGTCGTATTCTCAGCCACAGGTGGAGCCGGTCGAGCTGCTTCCGCTCTTCTCAAGCGAATTGCTGCTCTGTCTGCTGAGAAATCCGGAGAGCCATACGCAATGGTGATGGCGTTGCTGCGTTGTCGTCTTGGTTTTGGTCTCCTGCGTGCCAGTGTTGCCTGCCTTCGTGGTGCCCGGCGGATGCGCCGCGTCAATGATCAGTCTGCTGTCCTCGCAAACGCGGAGGCTGCATTGATTTAACTTTCTTTGCAACTCCTGCAGTCTAGGTACTGAGTATCATTGTTATCTTGTGTGTGTGTGTGTGTGTATGTGTGTATGCATGAGTCAACAGCGTTGATAAAGTTATTGTGTTTAAAAAAAAATATCCGGGCAAGAACAGCAGTCATACAGCACCGCGCCGCACATGCGTACTTACCATTTTTCGAAGTCCTTGCCTTGGTCAACATCTCCGACGAGTTCTTCAAAATTTGTCTCGCTTCTCCAAAATTACTCACTACTGTCTTGAACATCTTGAACGTCTGTAGGGAGGCCAGAAACGCCATCCAACCTTGCAGCTGGGTATGTTGCTCGGCGAAACGCACGTAAGGGAAGCAGACCTCAACAAGTGTAGCTTCTCAGCACTAGCATTCGAACCTTACTCTGACAATCATCAATCTTACTCGGAGAACGGGTTTATTCAACCAATCATATTACTGGTACTACTAACGTTACTACTGCCTTCACTGTACTTGAATACTTTCATCTCAAGAGTGGAAAGTCCTGACCAAACAAATCTGTTTGTGATGGACATTGCACACAATGTGACATTGCGGCATTTTGCCATTGCCAAGGCTTTTTTTCTCTTTGAACATCTCCATATATGTGGGCCTTGTCTGAACCGCAATCCTACACAGTTGCATCGGGCATGACGATCTGATCAGGCCCTCTGTCATGTGAGTGATCTTGCCCGCGGTCGCGACGCCCTCGGGGCTACGCCCCTTGGGCGTCGCGACCTCGGGCAAGATCACTCACAGACCTCGGGCCTGATCAGAGCGTCATGCCCTTGCAACTGTGTAGGATTATGTATGCAGTATGCAGCGTGAGCAAGGCGTGTATGGTCGAAGTGAAAATACTTCCGTGACTCTTCAGCCACGTCTGGCTCTTGACACGTAGTCCTGAGAAAATTCTCACGAAACAGGTTTTTCGTCCACTGACATTACTTTCCCTTTGCTGTAATCTCTGTGTGAAACATACGAACGGGACGAAAACGACATGCACTTTAGACTGCTCTGAAATCCCAAACGAAAGGCCAACATTGTCCACACTCGAGATCACCCAAAGAATGAAGCGAGTTTGATTCAAAATCAAAAAAAAATGTGCGGGATCGTCTGAAGCATACTAGTATTCAAGCGAGGTACAATCGGGCTTGATGACTGATCAAAGCCCTCGGGCCCAGCCCTTGGGCCTACGGCCCTCGGGCTGGACCCTTGCCTGGCCTTGGGCTTTGATCAGCCATGATCAAGCCCTCTGTACCTCGCTTGATTATCTACATAAACACAAAACTAAACGGCGCGAGTGCGAGTGTTGTGACAGATTCTTTCTGGATGCATAGGTCGCATTGATTTGTTTTTTGGTTTGTTTGTAGGGCGCTGGCACCCACATTCAGTGACCCAGCTGTAATGTCAGTGGTGGCATTGATTTGATTTTTGGTTTGCTTGTAGGGCGCTACGGTTGAGTTGGGTAACTCCGCTCTTCTTCCTCGCTAACTGCACCGGAGGAATTTCTCAAGTCTCCTCGCGCAACTGGGGAGCACTCCAATATGCAATGGAGAGAGAAAGATTTTCATAGAGCGGCTTGCTGTGAGAGGTGGACTGAGATTTGACGGCACTAACGGCGAGTATCAAGACCTTACGGCCACGGAGCTGCGGGACTCTGCGCTGGTCGTCTATCCGTGTGGAGGCAAAGCAAACGCGGGCAACATTCTGCTGAAGCGAGCGCGGAGCTGAAGCTGGATTGGTGACTGACGTACTTGTTTACTTCACAACACCGGCGCATAATGATGTACATGTACATGTACATGTACAAGACTTCGTGAGTATTCAACTCAAATTCGTGTTCCGTCAGCGTCAGTGTCAGCAAGTACATGTAGTACAATTATTTGTTCCCAAAATAACTCCGGAACAGTCTGTTCATGGTTTTCATTTGTATTGGACTCGTTCTCTACACTTGCGATAATTTAGTGGAACCTGTATTAAGTAAATGAGTTTTATGTTTCGTTACATTGCCGACAGATCTCCTGTGTACCGGTTTTGTGGCACAATGATTATAGCCATTTGTCGTCTCCATTCTTGTGCAATCATGCATATGTACAATGTAGGTTGGTTCTCTTCATGTTAATGTTATTGTGACCTATTTCATAGATGTTGGTTGCCTTGTTGTTTTCTCTCCCCTCTCCTCTCACCCAAGCCATTCTGCATAAGCGAAGCTGTGGACGCAGCATACTGCTGCTACACTTCAACGCGGGAATGCGTATAATAATAATAATAATAATAATAATAATAATAATAATAATAATAATAATAATAATAATAATGTAGGGCGCTGACACCCACATAGAGTGACCTACATAATTTGGCACTGCTGTGAATAGTTAAGTCGCAAAGTGAAGATTCACGGGTAAAAAGCCCCAAACTGTGTGATTGGTTATTTTTCAGCTTTCAACAGCCCTGGGCAAGTTCTTTAGAGAAATGTGGCTCTTTTTCTTGGTGCACTTGTCTATGTCCAGCTAAACAACGAGATGAGGATGGTCATTGTAATTTTCTGAGCTGCGAACGGGCAGAAAGGTGAGAAAACGTCGGATTTTGACCATTTGTGCTCACCTTTTTTTTCAATGTACCTCTCTCTAACATGACCCAGCTGTAATGTCAGTGGTCCCATTGATTTGATTTTTGGTTTGCTTGTAGGGCGCTGGCACCCACATTCAGTGACCCACAAAAGTTGGCAATGCTGTGAATAGTTTAGTCGGAAAGTGAAGAGTCACGGGTAAAAAGCCCCAAACTGTGTGATTGGTTATTTTTCAACTTTCAGCAGCCCTGGGCGAGTTCTTTAGAGAAATGCGGCCCTTTTTCTTGGTGCACTTGTCTGTGTCCAGCTACAGAAGGAGATGAGTATGGTCATTGTCATTTTCTGAGCTGCGACAGGCAGAAAGGTGAGAAAATGTCTGATTTTGACCACTTGTGCTGACCTTTGGATTTCAATGTACCTCTCTATAACATGACCCAGCTGTAATTTCAGTGGTGGCATTGATTTGATTTTTGGTTTGCTTGTAGGGCGCTCGCATCCACATTCAGTGACCCAGAAAATTTGGCAATGCTGTGAATAGTTTAGTCGCAAAGTGAAGATAAAGTAAAAAGCCCCAAACTGTGTCATTGGTTATTTTTCAGCTTTCGGCAGCCCTGGGCGAGTTCTTTAGAGAAATGTGGCTCTTTTTCTTGGTGCACTTGTCTATGTCCAGCTACACAACAAGATAAGTACGGTCAATGTCATTTTCTGAGCTGCGAACGGGCAGAAAGGTGAGAAAATGTCAGATTTTGACCATTTGTGCCCACTTTTCAATTTCAATGTACCTCTCTATAACATGACCCAGCTGTAATGTCAGTGGTCGCATTGATTTGATTTTTGGTTTGCTTGACCAACGCATATGGCCGATTGGTTTGCAGGCCTGCCTGCGAATCATGAGGTCCCGAGTTCGAGACCCGCGCTGGTAGCAGGGAGCGTGTAAAGACCCTTTACGTGAGTAAAGACTCTTTAATATGCGTGGTGAACTGCGCCGACACCCACGGTCAACTGGGTACTCACAGCTCGGAGTGAGGGTAACAAGGATGCAGTTTACAGGGTTATGGGCCGTTACACGCCCGATTGGTTGAGAGACTCACCTACTCTCCCCTGACTCACTTGTGAGGTCTGCATTCGCCACTCAGGTGTGCAAGGCATAGGCATAGTGGTGGCCTGCGGAAGCGAAGGCTAGTTTGTGTGTTTCTGAACATTCAAGCGATGCCAACGCGAATCCCGCGAATTATTATTATTATTATTGTAGGGCGCTGGCACCCACATTCAGTGACCCAGAAAATTTGGCACTGTTTTGAATAGTTTACAGTCAACTTTGCATATAACGACATTCGGCGGGGCATCAAAAAAGTGTCCTTATTCGCGAAGTATCGTTATACGGGAAGTCTCATCATATGTATTATAGTTGAAAGGGACTTTGCTCTGGCCATGGAAATGCTGTCGTTATTCGCGAATTGTCGTTATATCCGCAGTCGTTACTAGAGAAGTTGACTGTGGTCGCAAAGTGAAGATTCACGGGTAGAAAGCCCCAAACTTGGAGATAGACAATTTTTCAGCATTGAGCAGCCATGGGCGAGTTGTTTAGAGGAATGTGACTATGTCTTGCTGCACTTGCATATTTCCAGCTATAGAACCAGATGAGGCATGGGCAGCAAAAAACAGGGTTAGGTGATATTTGGCGAAAATGAGTTTTTTGATGGCTTTGAACTGTCCACTAAATGAGTGATCTATGGGCCAAATTTTGGAGCTCTGGGCACCTTCCAAGATGGTAAAAAGAACGCCCGAAATGATGGGTGACGGTCAACAAAAATGGTCAGCAAAAAGGCAAAATGGAACGCAGTTACAGCTAGCTCTAATGGAGTGACTGAGAACAATTTAGAATATTTATAGGTCTTCAGGGAAGCACAGCGTACTCTAGTTGATATTATAGTAACATTGTTTTGTGCAGGTCGTAACATTGACATCATCCGCTGTTCAATTGCCACAAATCGTTATTTCGGCACAGCATACGCAAAAGTTACCATTCCGGCTGATGTCATCAACACCGTACTCACGCCTGCGTTTTGGCCTGCCACCATCGGCCACACAGTCAGAAAGTGGCGCTTCCATGACGAGGCGTCCATGCCGACGAAGGAACAAAGTACTGAAGATTAACCATGGCTAGTAGTAGTAAAATGAACCCAGGCGCAACCCCGTTCTACCCTGGATGTATACGGACACTGTCCCTGAATATTTGCAGTCTACGTAATAAACTTACTGACTTGTCCCAATTGATATCGGACACAAAAACTGACATTGCTGCTGTATGTGAAACGTGGCTTAACAACTCCGTTCCGTCGATGGAGATGTCAATCGCAAACTATACTTTATTTCGGCTTGACAGGCGCGACAAACCCGGAGGTGGTGTATGTTTGTATGTTAATAACTCACTGTTTAGTCACCTACGTCCCGACTTAACAGCCGATGGCGTTGAATGCATTTGGGTAGAGATCAAAGCTCACCCACAACCTCTTCTTGTCGGGTGTATTTACCGCCCACCGAGTCAGTCACTAGCTTACTGGCAGACTTTCGAGGCCATGTTACACAAGGCATCGGGAGAAGCCAAGAATATTCTGCTTTGTGGTGACTTTAATGTTGATCTGGTCAGTCAATCTCCCACATCCCAGCATGCTTCCTTGCATGACATCACAACCACCTTAGGCCTGCATCAACTTGTAAAATCTCCAACACGCATAACGCTGCAAGGGAGCTGCACTCTATTAGATCATGTCTATAGTACAGCTCAAATCATATCCCCGCCTGATGTGTGTCCAGTTCCGTTCAGCGACCACTGTGCTATTGCAACCAAGATTTGTGTTAAACCAGTGCCGACAGCATTGCCTTCTCAGCGACTTTATCGAAACTTCAAGAGAATGGACTTGGCATCACTTCGTATGGATATATCTTGCGCCAACCTCTGTGAACTTCGTGGGTCCTGCGATGACATGTGGCAACAGTGGCTGACTAAGGTTGTGCCCATTCTTGATGCACATGCTCCATTGCGCCACGCGTCTTCCCGACCAAGACAGCATTCACCATGGGTCAATGAACATTTGTTCCTGTTGATACGACGACGTAACCACGCTCATCGGAAATGGCTGCAATCTAAGTGCCAGACTGATTACGATGCGTTTAAAGAAGCCAGGCGTATCGTGACTCGTATGAACCGTGAATTGAAGACGAATTTTTTTCAGTCTAAGTTCACCAGTGTTCAAGGTAATCCCAGGAAAACGTGGAAGGTTTTGAACGAGTTATCCGGAAGACAACGTGTTCAATCCGTTCCACAATGCTCTGCAAGCAACATTGGGTGTGTATTTGCTGATGTTGTCAGTGATCAACAACGAGCACCTGAACTGTGTCTTCCACAGGGCCCAGTGGGACCTAAGGGTTTTACATCCTTCAGTTCGGTGTCAATAGGTTGTGTGCGTAAACTGTTGGGTTCCTTGGACACCAGCAAAGCGACAGGCAGTGATGGAATACCCGCATTTCTTCTGAAGTCCTGCGCTGATTTGCTAGCTCCCTCCTTAACATTGATATTTAATGCATCTCTTGCTGTTGGTTCTGTGCCGGACGGCATGAAGTTGGCACATGTCACGCCGGTATTCAAGGCTGGAAATCCTCAAGATCCGGGAAATTATCGCCCTGTGTCTCTCCTGCCAATTGTGTCGAAGCTGTTAGAACGAATTGTCCATAGACAACTATCCTCATTTCTGGACAAGGAGAATTTGTACCCTCCCTGTCAGTTTGGCTTTAGACGTCAACATTCAACGGAAGACGCTCTAGTTTTCGTCACGGACACGTTTGTTCGCGCTCGCGATGCCGGACAAATTACTGGTGCTGTGCTCGTGGATATGTCAAAAGCATTTGACAAGGTCGGGCACCAAGTGCTCATTAATGATTTGTTTGAGCTTGGCATATCTGGTTCAGCATTAGTTTGGTTTGCCGACTATTTGTCCAATCGTCGCCAAATAGTGCACATTGCTGAGAACTATAGCCCTCCTTTCCCCTGCATGTGTGGCGTTCCCCAGGGCTCTGTTCTTGGTCCGCTGCTTTTTGTACTCTATGTTCGTTCGATCCAGTCCATTGTCTCCGAGTTTTGTGTGAAAGTTATTCAATTTGCTGACGATATTCTATTGTATGTTTGCGGTACGCAGAAGAATGCGCTTAGCAACTCCCTGTCTGCAGCTGTCTCAGCCATTAGTACCTGGCTGTCAAACCGCAATTTAATTCTAAATGCTCGGAAGACACAAGTGCTCTTCCTGTCTACGCCACATATTACTGACCACCAATTTGCAGTCTACTGCCATGGAGTGCAGCTCAAGCAAGTGACATGTGCAAAGTACCTTGGAATACATTTGGACCAGGATCTTTCTTGGAGCACTCAAGTTGATTCTATGGTCTCCAAACTAGCCAGTAAAATTGGTATTCTGTTCCGAAATCGACACAATATTCCGCTGACTTGCCGAGAAACCTTCGTAAAGTGCCTAGTGTTGCCAGATTTTCTATATGCATCAAATTGTTTTTCTGCTGGCCTTTCCTTAACCCAGTTAGGTAGGCTTGAACGAATGCTAAAGCGAGCTTTGCGTTCAGTGTACGATACTGGTTTTTGTAGCCCATCAAGCCCTTTATTTGCGAGACTTGGTCTAGATCGTTTGGCAACCATGTATTGCAAGAAATTACTGTATCTGACGTGGCGCTGTTTGGAAGGCCGCTGTAGTGTCACATTAAGTCAAATGTTCGAGCGTTTAAATAATGGTCTTGCAACGCGCAGCCTTGTATCACGCACTCTTAAGTTGCCCATGCTCAGAACTGCCTTTGCCCGTCATGGCGCTTCCTTCCAATGTGCTAAGCTGTGGAATGATTTGCACCCTCTAGCTCGCTGTGTGGATAACTCCGCCCGTTTTAAGAAACTGTTACCCCAATGCCTTGCTTTTTCACGCTAGTAATTATGACTTTCAGCTATGCAAAATGCGAACATGATCATCTATCCAATACCGGTAGTCTATTATATTAATTATTCATATCTTTTTGCATCTTTCCCTCGAGTGGGTCTATTGTTATTAAGCAATTGTCTGTTATAGTCACCACTATAAATAAAAATCCAATCCAATCCAAAAATTGTTGCCTGCACTTGCTGCAATGTTACTTGAAAACTCAATCCCTGTCATGTGCAGGTCTGGTAATGTATGCAGACTTGTCAGACAGAAAGAAGCCAAGCAACTGATGTTTCACATGGCTGGGAAGAAGCTGAAACTTAGTACAAAACTAGATATGCATGCTGGACCAAGCCAGATACATCCACCAAGCATGTCTTGCTCTCCAACGCACAGCAGCTCGTAGATACATGTATAATACTGTGACAAATTTCATGCGCACCGCAAGCGTGCATGTGCATGTATACTTGCAACAATTTTATTCACAAAATATCTTGTATCAAGTAAGGTTTAGTTCATTCAGGGCTGTCTCCGTATCTCACCAACTTATTCAGCTGCTAAAAGTCGCCACGGAGTACTGAATCTCGCTCGTCACTCTCAGCGCTGCTGTCCGCGTCGCCACTTCGTGTCACGGAGCTCTCAAACTCGTCGTCTGCGCTGCCTCCGCTGATGGCTTGTCATCTGAGCGAAACCTCTTCACTTTCACCTGATTCGTCTTGCGGGGGACTATCACAGGCAGCGGAGTATCTCTGGAGATCCAGCTGCCAAATATTCTAGTCGCTCGTGCTCCATCAAGAATTCGTGACGGGATCGTTCCGCCAAGAAATTATTTGTTCCGCTCTCTTTTCAGCGCATGATCAGCAGACGCTACCCAGAGCGCAAAACGCTTCCATGGTGGCTGAAAACGCCTACCTGGACGTCCCAAGTGCTTGGCGGATAAACTACAACTGCAATGACAACAAATTATAGCGAAGCCACCAAGAGGAAAGCACTTTCAAAGCGATATCGCAAGAAGTCTTTCCGCTTTGATCGCGGTGACTAAAAAACGACATCGGTTTGGTTTTTCGCAAATATTGGCATTTTGAAAAATCGCCAGGACCCCGGTTCTTGCTGCCGATGCCTCAGATGAGGATGTTCATTGGCAATTTCTGAGCTGCGATGGGGCAGAAAGGTGAGAAAATGTCAGGTTTCGACCATTTGTGCCCACCATTCAATTTCAATGTACCTCTCTATAACATGACCCAGCTATAATGTCAGTGGTCGCATTGATTTGATTTTAAGTTTGTTTGTAGGGCGCTGGCACCCACATTCAGTGACCCAGAAAATTTGACACTGTTGTGAATAGCTTAGTCGCAAAGTGTAGATTCACGGGTAAAAAGCCCCAAACTTGGACAAAGGATATTTTTCAGCTTTCAGCAGCCCTAGGCGAGTTCTTTAGAGAAATGTGACTCTTTTTTGCTGCACTTGCCTATGTCCAGCTATACAACGAGATGATGTTGGTGGTTGTCAGTTTCTGAGCTTTTAACGGGCAGAAAGGTGAGAAATTGTCAGATTTTGACCATTTGTGCCCACCTTTCAACTTTAATGCACCTCTCTATAACATGACCCAGCTGTAATGTTAGTGGTTGAATTGATTTGATTTTTGGTTTCCTTGCAGAACGCTGGCACCCACATTCAGTGACCCAGAAAATTTAGCACTGCCGTGAATAGTTTAGTTGCAAAGTTAAGATTCACGGGTAACAGCAGATTTTGACTTTCGGCAGGCCTGGGCGAGTTCTTTAGAGAAATGTGGCTCTTATTCTTGCTGCACTTGCTTTTGTCCAGCTATACAACTAGACGAGGATGGTAATTGTCAGTTTCTGATCTGCCAACCGGCAGAAAGGTGAGAAAGTGTCAGATTTTGACCATTTGTGCTGACCTTTCAATTTCAATGTACCTCTCTATAACATGACCCAGCTATAATGTCAGTGGTCGCATTGATTTGATTTTAAGTTTGTTTGTAGGGCGCTGGCACCCACATTCAGTGACCCAGAAAAATTGGCACTGCTGTAAATAGTTAAGTCGCAAAGTGAAGATTCACGGGTAAAAAGCCCTAAACTTGGAGATAGATCATTTCAGCGTTCAGCAGCCTTGGGCGAGTTCTTTAGAGAAATGTGGCTCTTTTTCTTGGTGCACTTGCCTATGTCCAGCTATACACCGAGATGAGGATGGTCATTGTCAGTTTCTGAGCTCGGAACGGGCAGAAAGGTGAGAAAGTGTCAGATTTTGACCATTTGTGCCCACCTTTCAATTTCAATGTACCTCTCTATAACATGACCCAGCTGTAATGCGAGTGGTCGCAATGATTTGATTGTTGGTTTGCTTGTAGGCCGCTGGCACCCACATTCAGTGACCCAGACAATTTGGCCGTGCTGTGAGTAGTTTAGTCGCAAAGTGAAGATTCACTGGTAAAAAGCACCAAATTTGCATATACATGGTTATTGAGCTTGCAGCAACCCTGGGCCTTGTTCTTTAGAGAAATGTGTCTTTTTCTTGGTGCACTTCCCCATGTACAGATACGATATACAAGGAGATGAGGATGGTCGTGTCGTTTGCTGAGCTTAGAACTTTCAGACACGTAAGAAAATGTCAAGTTTTGACCTTCTGTGCCCACCTTTCAATTTCAATGTACCTGTCTATAACATGACCCAGCTGTAATGTGAGTGGTCGCAATTTTCATTTTAGGTTTGCTTGTAGGCCGCCGGCACCCACATTCAGTGACCCAAACATTTTGGCACTGCGGTGAATAGTTTAGTCGCAAAGTGAAGGATCATGGGTAAAAGCACCAAACTTGGAGATATGGTTGATAAATATGGTGGTAAATACACACCTGGCAATATGGCGGTAAACACACGCCTGCCCACAGATGCTCTCTTAGCTGCAAAGTTCTGGCACAAAGCTCTCTTCTCACCACCACCACCATTAGTTCGCGCCTGGCGCCTAGTCAATGCATAGTTGGCGACTATGCCCCAGGCGCGAACTTATGGTGGTGGTGAGAAGGAGAGCTCTGTGCCAGAACTTTGCAGCTAAGAGAGCGTGCGTGGGCAGGCGTGTGTTTACCGCCATATTGCCAGGTGTGTCTTTACCACATTTTTTATCAACCATAAGTACAGCTGCATTGGTGTCTTCAACTTCAGTCTCCCGAGTCAAGCTCCGTATGAAGACATCCAAGAAGAAGATTGCCTGATGAGTCCAGCGGGGACGAAACGTACGTCGCAATCGAGCTATGTCGTTGCTGCGTCATCTTCTATGTGCCATGCGCTACTTGATGTACCAGCCTGCTATGTCGGACACCGCCAACCATGCATCGACTAGGCGCCAGGCGCGAACTAATGGTGGTGGTGGTGGTGAGAAGGAGAGCTCTGTGCCAGAACTTTGCAGCTGAGAGAGCGTGTGTGGGCAGGCGTGTGTTTACCGCCATATTGCCAGGTGTGTCTTTACCACCATATTTATCAACCATAAGTACAGCTGCAGTGGTGTCTTCAACTTCAAACTTGGAGATAGGTTGTTTTTGAGCTTTCAGCAGCCCTAGGCTAGTTCTTTAGAGAAATGTGTCTCTTTTTCTTGCGCACTTCCCCATGTACATATATACAACGAGATGAGGATGGTGATTGTCAGTTTCTGAGCTTCGAACGGGCAGAAAGGTAAGAAAATGTCAATTTTTGACCTTCTGTGCCCACCTTTCAATTTCAATGTACCTCTTTATAACATGACCCAGCTGTAATGTGAGTGGTCGCAATGATTTCATTTTAGGTTTGTTTGTAGGCCGCCGCCACCCACATTCAGTGACCCAAACATGTTGGCACTGCTGTGAATAGTTTAGTCGCAAAGTGAAGAATCATGGGTAAAAAGCACCAAACTTGGAGATATGGTTGATAAACATGGTGGTAAAGACACACCTGGCAATATGGCGGTAAACACACGCCTGCCCACACACGCTCTCTTAGCTGCAAAGTTCTGGCACAGAGCTCTCTTCTCACCACCACCACCACCATTAGTTCGTTTGTTGTGTAAAGAATTGTTGTGCCTTCCCTTTGCCCCGCTTTTCAACAAGATCAGGATGGTCACTGTCAAATTGTGGCCATCCAACGGGCAGAAAGGCGAGTAATTGTCAATTTTGGGCTATTTGTGCCAGGCTGTCCTTTCAATGCACTCTGTGCATCTTGGCCCAGCTGCATGTGCCTTGATTTGATTTTTAGTTTGCAGTTTGGCTGTTTGCACCAGCATATAGTGACCAAGAAAATTTGGCACTGGTGTGAATGGTCTATTCGCATAGTGAAGCACCGTGGACAAAAAGCCCCAAACTTGGAGAAAGGTTATTTTCACCTTTCAGCAGAAATATGGCTCTTTTTGTTTGTTCACTAGCCCTTGCTCAGCTATTCAGCAAGATCAGGATGGTCACCGTAAGTATCAGAGCTACATAACAGCAGAAAGGTGAGTAATTGTCAATTTTCGACCATTTGTGCCCAGCTGTCATTTCAATGCACCCCTGTACAACTTGGCCCAGCTGCAATGTGAGTGCCCGCATTGATGTGCAAAAATCCTTGTGTGTACCAACTTTGGACAGACACAGCATGATTAGCCGTTCCGCTGTGAAGGTGCTAATAATGCCTTCAATGGTCATTCGAAGGAGATATTGATGTCCGGATGATGCTCCCTGATGCAGTTGTGCGTTATAATTTGTTTCAGTATTACAAGGAGTATACAAGATGCAGACATCACCCATCACCATACCAACGGCTATAAGTTAAAATACAATGGTATTCCAGAATTGGAATTGGAATTGCAATTTTCGTGTTCCGCTCGTCAGAAAATTGCTATACTGGAATCCAGTGTTGTGTGGTGATTAGTGATGTCTGCATCCTTTACCATCCTTAACGGGGAATTCCCTGGAATATTTCGGTGTCGGCCTTTTCTCTGTGTCTTTGTCTTCAGGTGGAGCAGCCATTAGTGTGGCTTGCAACAGGAACTAGATTACAAAGGAACAGGAAGCAAGGAAATGAAGGAAGCAAAATGAATCAAGATGGAATGAAGATGAAGCCCGCAAGAAAAAACAGAAGTCAACAAAGATAGAAGTCAGCAGAGAGAATTCTAGAAAGCCATCCCAAACCCCGACCACCATTCCCTCCCTCAACGATTACTTTTATAGCCTATACAATGGTATTCCAGAATTGGAATTGGAATTGCAATTTTCGTGTTCCGCTCGTCAGAAAATTGCTATACTGGAATCCAGTGTTGTGTGGTGATTAGTGATGTCTGCATCCTGTACCATCCTTAACGGGGAATTCCCTGGAATATTTCGGTGTCGGCCTTTTCTCTGTGTCTTTGTCTTCAGGTGGAGCAGCCATTAGTGGCTTGCAACAGGAACTAGATTACAAAGGAACAGGAAGCAAGGAAATGAAGGAAGCAAAATGGATCAAGATGGAATGAAGATGTAGCCCGCAAGAAAAAACAGAAGTCAACAAAGATAGAAGTCAGCAGAGAGAATTCTAGAAAGCCATCCCAAACCCCGACCACCATGAGATGAAAGATGAAACCCGGACAATTTATACACCTGGCAACCCATACACCTGCTGCTGTCGAGCTACACATGGCAACTCGTACAAGGGTATTTCCCTTGAGCCTGGTGTTAGAACACTGATGACACACAACACATGCATGTATACGCATTGATAGCAGGTGCATAAACGCACACTTGTACACAGAACACGGGTAGTGGGACAAAACATATCAGGAATGAACACTGGACAGTGGAATGGCACCTGGCTATTCTAGTAGGACAACAGTACATTGGGACATCGAGATTCCAACCAAAAAAAGAAAAGAAAGACAATTACAACACAGTAGATATTGAATTTGGATTGTTCGTTTTCTTGTGATATTGACTGAGTTAGGGGTGCAATTAGTTAATGACTAGTACGTACGTTTGTGGCTAATAATCGTTTGTGGTCATTAATTGACATTACTACTGAGTAGAACCAGCACATCTGCACACAATGGACAAAAACAGGAGCATATACAGGGCAAGCCATTGTCAAGTATGCAATCATGCACAAATGATATCCAATCATGTAAGGCTGCAACCACACTAGGTACAAAATCACGTACAAACTGCATTACAGTAGAAATCGTCATGCCGACGCGTGCGAAATGCAAAATGCGCTTTGTAGGTTTTCAGCAACTGGCGCACCCCTGTAGAAAGCCACGTTTGTCGTTTTCGCGCTCCATCTCCTGTGTACAACTTTGTTTTTGTACCTGGTCGTCGTACATAGCATCAGCATCAGCATTGTTTTTGAATTTCCCGGTCTTTTCCAGCGCATGGCACACGCTTTGGTACGACAACGTCACGTGCTGTTCGCGTGAAAACGTCAACTATGCAGACCGAAAAGTGTAGTGTGGTTGCGTACCGACTTGTACTGAGATATGCATGAAAATTTGTAATGTGATTTTTACGTAGTGTGGTTGCGGCCTTAGGTAGGGATCTCAGCGCGTGCAGTGCGCAGGGTGTTTGCGCATACATTGCGTCATCGAGTTTTGAGTGCAGCTCGCGGACACAGCAGAAAATGGCGACGGTCGATTTTCGACACTAGCGGACGCGGTGGACACTAGCGGAATCGTCATCTTCATCGTCATTCGAACATACTTTGTAATTCCCGCCGAAGGACAGCGTGGCCAAGGCGATATCGCCCCGGTCGATTTTCCTATAATTTGCCATGCGGCAAGAACCCACTTCAGAGAGGATTCAGTCAAAAATTCAGACGTTTTCTCCGGTTAGATTGTCCTAACTTCGATTTTCAGTGCATCAGCCATCGCGAACATCGCCGCCATTATCACTCAGAGAGAAGACATCGCGCTCAGTAGAAGAGGTGTTCACGCTGCGTCCAAGAGTGAAAGATTGTGCTCTTTGACCCTCCATAGTTCCTCTGAGAGAGTGTCTGGGAGATAGGTAGCTTGGAGATGGCCGTAGAACGTGCTTTCCTGGACGCAATATTCAGCCATTTCTACTGTCTTCTTCAACTTGATTTATTTCGAAAAAATGTTCTTTTCCACGATTTCTGCACTGGACGCGTTTGGGATCGAAAATCTCACCTGCGCAGACTGGCTGCGCAGTTCACGCGCTGAGATCCCTACCTTTAAGGGGAAGTATACCCTAAAATCAAATTTTCACCAGTTGTCTTCTGGGTGCTGAGTCGAATGGTCTGGGTCCGAGGAAGCTGCGACGCTCCCTTCCTACTTGAATCCCAATCGAACTCGCGCACTTCCACCGAAACTGGGTGACTGCGCCCTACTAGATGGGGAATTGTATGCAAAATGTCACTAAAAGCGCCATTTCGTTCTTATAAAAGCACGGATGACCGCGATTGGCCCATATGTTGTACTCTTTTGGACGCTGAGTCGACTGGTTTTGGTCCGAAAAGGCTGCGATGCAGCGTTCCTCCTTTATTCCCAATCAAACATGGTTGAACAAGCGGTCACGTGCTCCTGGGTGCCCAAATCACCTGGTCACCACGCCAGCAGGCGACAAATTTCACACCAAGGTTCAACTCAAGTTCAACTCGAGTGACAGGAGTGCACCCAAAAAAGGTCAAACAGGCTAGTAAGTTGTACCCTGCAGGCACGGTGACCAGGTGACTGGTGTACGCAGGAGAACGTGACCGCTTGTTCAACCATGTTCAATTGGGAATAAAGGAGGAACGCTACATCGCAGCCTTTTCGGACCAAAACCAGTCGACTCAGCGTCCAAAAGACTACAACATATGGGCCAATCGCGGTCATCCGTGCTTTTATAAGAACGAAATGGCGCTTTTAGTGACATTTTGCATACAAATCCCCATCTAGTAGGGCGCAGTCACCCAGTTTCGGTGGAAGTGCGCGAGTTCGATTGGGATTCAAGTAGGAAGGGAGCGTCTCAGCTTCCTCGGACCAAGACCATTCGACTCAGCACCCCGAAGACTACAACTGGTGAAAATTTGATTTTAGGGTATACTTCCCCTTTAAGATGATAACCAATCATGTACAACTGATAACCAGTGACAGTGTACAGGTTTTGAACAGTATGACGGATAACTCATATGCTGACGAAAGTTCCAATTACACATCACCGACTACCGCCACTATTGCCTTTCATGCTCAAACGCGAGTACTGGCTGTAGGCACGCCATCTACCTGCTTTCACCTGTGAAGCTGTGTCCATGTTTGACTATCATAGGTTGTGGACATGTATCGCTATTTGAGCCTGTTTCCCAAGCTGTAACTTAGCATGTGCTCCCACTCCAGTAGTACTATGTGTGCATGTGCAGCAGAGAGCTGAAAAAGATGGGGACACTGCAACGGAATGTCTGGCCAGATATGCAGCAGAGAGCTGAAAAACAAGGGGACACTGCAACGGGATGTCTGGCCAGATATACAGCAGCGCTGGAGAATACCGTTGATTAGGCTACAGCTCGGGAAAAAAGCAACACTTATCCTTTGAACCTTCCTATTCCAATATACAGTACATTTAGTTCAATATAACCTGCAGTATAACCTGTCAAGGCGACCACCTGCCCCAGAAGACAACCTGCCCCAGAAGACCACCTGCCACAGAAGACCACCTGCCACAGAAGACTACTGCAACCAGGACCAAGGTATGCTTTTTTGCAGGCAAACGATCCAGGATAAGAAGACACCTGGCAACAGAGACCACATGTTGAAGGTCCCTATAGAGGTCTTAGACAGGTTTCACTGTATGAGTAGGTGCTATGACAGGCACTCCTCCATAGCTGTCCTGTTGTGCAGTCATTAGCTGTCATACGTACAACAAACCAGTGTTTCCTCATTATCCAAGACATCAACCGCGCCTACCTACAGCAGGACGAATACTCAAATCGTTAATAACTTTCATCTAGTAGCACTCCAAGTATACCGGAATAGGAAATGTCAAATGCTAAGATTCAAAGTGTCACTAGGGGCGCGTTTGGTTGGTACGAACTAGAACAGGATTCACCAGAACAGCGCGTTTGGTTGGGACTGCACCTGTTCTGGGTCGGCCAGAACATGTTCTGCTTGCTCCGGCCTCGAGGCCGGAGCAGACCGAGCAGTTTCACTTTTTCACAGTGAAACCTGGCGGGAACATCGATTTTGGTCCCAAATGATCACGTGCATACGCTTTTGGTTTGGACTCGTTGTACCGTACAAAGTGACCATGGTGACCCATACACATTTTTGAAGGATGCACCCAGTTTGGCACATTTTTCCACAAAAATGTGCTCTGTTTCTGGAGTACCGTTTGGTTGGCATGAGGCTGCTCCATGTGCACCAGCTGTTCGATCCTGTTCTAGATCGTACCAACCAAACGCACCCTAGATCTGGTCCTTGAACCTGCAAGACATTTTCCAAATAAAATTTTAGACAATCTGTAGCACCACGGCATTACATCTGTGTCGACAATGGCAGAGGAGACCCAAACCATTGGACAGTAAGAATGGTAGTGCTCGGTAGGGCAGAAATCTACTTTTCTAAGTCAGCCTCTCTTGCGCAGACAGCATAAGTGCTTCCCTGTCCAGGATCTTCAATGAGACCTTACAGACAGACCTAGTACCAGATATTGACAAGTTGGCGAGCATTTGTCCAATATACAAATCTTGTAGTCAAACAGACCCCTCCAATTACAGACCCATGTCCCTCCTTCCGATCGTCCACAAACTGCTGGAGCAGATCGTCCACGCCCAGCTACAGTCCATTCATAAAAAAATGGGTCCTGGCTCTGGCGAGCTCCCGTATTTGGCGATTTTTCGTGATTTCATCGTACACAGTGCAGTGCTGCGAACTTTGAAATTTGAAAAAGGGTCCAAAAAGGGTGCCTGAACTGGGGTTCGAACCGCAGAATGCACTGTTGCAGGCGGGGTCAAACGGCCTGGATTTTGATGGTTTTTCCCAATTCAGTGCTTTTGGGGCAAAACCTGGCCGAAATCCTATTCTTGCTATGGCTTGCTTTTTGGACAAAAAAACTTCAGAAACATAATTGGAAGAGGATTCCATATGGGATTGCAGAAAAAAATTCTAAAAAAACTCAACGTTTGACCCATTTATGGCCAAAAGCTAGAAGTTCATTTTTTCTGAATGGACTGTAGTGCAGCACATAGCCAAAACACCGGAGCTTGGGGTTATGCCCCCTGAGCAGTTCGCATACAGAGCAAACCATTCCTGTGAAGATGCACTTGAGTTGGCCATCGACCGCTGGCAGCGAGCGCTTGACGAAGGCCTGTACTGTGGTGCTGTGTTTGTCGATATGTCGAAAGCCTTCGACAGGGTTCGACACAACCAACTTCTTCTCGACCTTCAGGCTATTGGCGTGTCGGGTGTGGCTCTACGGTGGTTCACGAGCTATCTGGCTGATCACTATCAGCGAGTCTCAGTAAATGGCGCCCTGAGCAGTACCACAGAATGCTCCCGATGTGTCCCGCAGGGGTCTATACTCGGGCCACTCCTGTTTTGCGTTTAAGTACGTGATATACCCGCCACATTTCAGTATTCGCAGTGCCAGCAGTATGCCGACGACATTACCCATTGCCGATCCAGTACTGATCTCGACGACCTTGTAAGGAAGCTTAGTGCAGACGTCAGTATGTTGGACACATATTTTACTGACAGAGGGCTTCTGCTCAATCCCCAAAAATGCACTTTCTCGTGATTCGGAGAAAGGGGCAGGTAATTCCACCCACGCTAGCCATTCAGTGTGGACCTAACATGACCCCAATGCCGCAAAGCTCACAGTACCTCCGTTTCGCGGGGTTCTGGAGAGCGAAGATGAAACCAGGAAGTCGTAAAATATTTTTACGACTCCCTGGTGCAAACGAGTAATCGCCATCGCGGCGGATCACGCAGCTTGAAAGCCAACTTACTTGAACGATGGCGACATCAAGTCCAGCGGAATGTGATCAAAGAAGCCGATGCAAGGCTGAAATGAGCTGATAAACGACTCGAGAGAGATGACGGCTCGCGTGCAGCAGATGACGACAGCGACGCAGGGTCAAAAAATGAGTGGAGCGAAAGCGACGCAAACTGAACTCTCTGCTCATTCCATCAACAGTTTCTCTTGTAAAGATGCTGTACATAGGCTGAACTACCTTCGTCCAGTGATTTGCAGTCGACACAAACTGTTCTTGACCTGTTCTAGAAGTGTTTTCGAATCCATTAAAATCCATCACGTAGTTTTTTGTTAACGGAGGAAGTACTACTACGACTAGTTCATAGCTGGTATATAGAGAATTATTGTTCCATCAGAGAGGCCTTTGTGGAAATTACAGTTATTACAGAGGTTCAGTGGCTCGTTTGTTTCATACGAAATGAATCAATGGATCAGGTGTAGTTTAGAGTCCCGTGAATATCTCAAAGATTCGATTTGTTCACATGGGTCGGGCCTTTTTTTTATTCACGAGTAGCTCCGAGATCATAGTGCACCAAAATATGGATCTATCATACATAAATCTCTCCTCCTCCATGCGCTCTAAAGCCAATCATTGCTCTAAAGCCGATCATTGCTCTAAAGCCGATCATTGCTACCCTCGGTAGCAATTACTCACACCAATAATTTCAAACAACGAAGGGGTCACGGGAAAACATTTCCTTCTGGCAGCTGTTTCACCTATCAAAGGCTCTTCAGAGAATGTGATACTGGATATTGTGATTGGCATAGCAAAATTACTGGGTGAATTCCCCCAGTTGGGACTCCCACTTCTGTCCGTCGCTATGCTTCGTCAAGACATTATTTGTTTCTCTCTCTTTCGAGCGCATGATTTTGCAATGCTACCCAGAGCGCAAACGCCTCCATGGCAGCTGGAAATCTGTACCTAGACGTCCCAAGTGTCTGGCGGACAAACTACAAAGACGATGACAACAAAATATAGTGAAGCCACCAAGAAGCCATATTCAAAGCGATAGGGCAGGAAGTCTTTTTGCTTTGATTGTAGTGGCCAAACAACGACACCGCTTAGGTTTTTCGCAAATATTGGCATTTTGAAAAATCGGCGGGACCCAGTTCTTGCTGCGGATGCCTCATATGTCCTTGGTGAGGCAAAACAGCTGAAACAGTACCCCACCCAGCCTATTGCAAAGTAATGCATATAGAATATCACCTACACTACAGCCAATAGTGAAACAGCTGTATTACATGCATATCGATCATCTTATGCGTAACTCACCTTCTTTTTTTTTGAAGATGGACGAAGGCCACATCTCAAGGTTGGAGAACGTTGCAGCACGCATCCATTGAGCCATATCCAACTTGCGAGTATGTTACGCTGACTGCTCCTTGGATATGCACAGCGCTCAGCTTGGCTTCTCTCCGCATGATCTTTCCAGGCTAAACCTATTTGAAGTGTTTGGATGCGGATGTCTAAGCTGCTGCCATCCATCACAGGTAGACCCACACACAGCTGTAGTGTATTGTACTGCCAGCAAGTACTACCACCAATGCACTGTACACAAACTGCTCTTGGCCTGGCCTATATCCATGAAGTTGTAACAGTTGTTGTGTCTGTCAATTCGTACCCGTAGGACGCTTTACGAGTCGGTTGAGAAGGTGAACTAAATATCAGCATATTGACGAGTAGTTGTGAACCAAACAATTGAGTAGCAAGAAGCCGTAAATTGCTGACTTCTGCACTCCACACACTAACAGCCAAGACAACAGGACGCTGACAGGAAAGCTGCAGTAGAGAAGCAAGTGCCGGAGAACACGACTAACCTTATAAGCTCTCCACTAGCGGAGGTCGGGTGATGGTTTGTTGCTGCTTTCGTATGAGTGTGCATTAGCGGCTGCTCCGTAAGATACTTCCCGGTGTCTTCTCACACTTTTCGTAGAATGTCGTTGAAAATTCGGCGCATGGTCACGATATTGCGCCTGTGTTTGTGACAGTCAATGGCGGTCGTGAGTTGAGTCTTCCGCCTCCCGAGAATCTCTGCATGCTGCTTCTCTATGACCCACGACTGGCTCTCGTTTAGACTGGCTGTCTTATTGAGGGCTTGACGTTATTGCCCTCGGGCGCGGAGAGCCGCTGTAAAAGATAGCTCCCGAAGGGTGGCGGAGTGTTGCCGAGCGATGGCGGGTTGCTGAGTGGGAACGGGGAGAGGACAGGCGACGTTAAACCGGACTCGTACTATTCGGCGTCGTCGCCGTCGGTCTACTTCATTCCGTCTTGCTTGTGCGAGCGCAATGAATACTATTATATTCAGGGCAGCGAATAGCAGTCGAGCACTAACACGGATATTGTCCATGCTCGAACAACAAGGCGTAGAGGAAAGTGAATCGGCCGCCTGTCTGCAACACAAGCTGGGTGCTTCCAAGTAACAGTTCGTTCTAGTTCAAAGCACAGGACTTCCGTTACCCAAACTGGCTTTTTGCTCCGATACCTTCCCACTCCATGTAAGCGGTAGTACTTCCAAACAAACTATGAGATACTGGTACACGGAAACCTTTAGGAAAACGAGGAAACTAGAATGAAGAAGAAAAGAGTAGTAACTGCTGACTCGTTGACCATCGACCCGTCCGCTAGTGGCGCTACCCAGCATTTAGTGCAGATCCGCCAGCGAGAGAAAACCTCGCGTGATGTCTAGTACTGCACTCTCACATCGAATACCGCCATAATATGCATCGTAGATCTATGCACCTATCGCCAATGCCAAAGGGAACGTGGAAATGACAAGTCGTCAAAAACAGCGCCCGGAATCACGTATTTGCAAAGGAGCATCATTGACATTATTAATTTTTCTGTACATGCAGTCGGTGGCTTTTATAGTGATACCAAGAATATACGTTGACTCACATAGATTTTTGCAATACCTAAGCAGTCAAAATAATAATACTATTCCTGCATACCGGTATTTGACTCCTTACTGACCTTCGGGCTATATTAGAGAGGTTCCGGGGTACGATTTTTCGTGCCAAAATCCGTATGGGCGCTACGGATGTTTTCGAGGCGTCTTTCATACGATTATTCGGCACGGAGAATTCATGTCTCCATACGAACCTTACCAAGTTTCGTATGAAGATTTTGCGTCATCGAGCGCAGAAAGATTTCTCCCATACAATTTTGGTACGAGAAACATCGATTTTCCGCGGGAAGTTTTGATTTCGGTACAAATTTTCAAAATAGAAAGGCATAGCGTGGAAATATGAAATGTTTGCGATCGTAACCTAGGCAATGACAGCAAACACCTAAGTTCCGTGCTCCGGAACATTTCACTGCTCGAAAACGACGTATAAAAATCCGTAGCGCCCCTACGGATTTTGGCACGATTAATCGTACTCCGGAACCTCTCTATTGAGTATTGACTGCTTATATTTGACTCCATTTTAGGGATTCAACGCATCCTTTGGCTAGTCGTGATAAATCTAATATTGACTTCGTACTTGGTCAATATAGGAAAGAAAACCTCGTAAAAGACCTCGGCTTCACCTCGGTCTTTTACTCGGCTTCGCCTCGGTCTTTTACTCCGCTTCGCCTCGGTCTTTTACTCGGTTTTATTTCCTATATTGACCTCGTACTGAGTCAATATTAGATACATATACGCAAGAGTAGATAAACAAGAGTCTGCAACTCCGGATCTTTCCTGCATAATCTGCGCCCACGGCGGAATTTTTTGTTGACGTCACCTTTTTTCAGAAGAACGCGCATTTTGCCGCAGAGCAGTGTGAGAGCACATAGTGGGCACCGGCCTTGTATTGTAATTCTTTCGTTTCTTGAGCACGGTCCACTATATTTTCATCGGCACATCGCTGGAAATGGTGGGTTTTTAATTAACACGTCATAATATAGAATTTATACCCACCATTTCCAGCGATGTGCCGATGAAAATATAGTGGACCGTGCTCAAGTAATGGACCATGCCCAAATAAGAGACCGGGGGTCCAACCCTCTTCAAAAAACAAAAGACCGGGTCTATTAATCGAGGAAATGCGGTATTCAGTATTTACTATGTGTCGTGTGTGTCACTGTGTGTATAGGAGGAGCGGGGTGCGGTGCACGGGGAGATCTAAATGGCTGTACAATGTGTAGGACCAACACAGACCCTGGTTGAAGTTGATCAAGGTGTGGGTCGATCCTCTTCACTCAGAGTAGAGACAGAGTCGAGCGAGCTGTATTCCCGGTGCCGAAAGGTGGGCTCGCCACCCCTGTACGGCAACTTCCCCATGTCTAACCCACACTGAGACGAAGTGAATACTGTAGTAGTAGTCATACTTGCCGAAGTATAGAAAATAAAAAATAAAAAAGTTGATGGGAGCATCAACTAAATCCGTCCGTCCACTGAAAAATGGAGCAAGTCCGAACTGGTAGAACTAATGCTCATTGTGGGGATTGGATTGGATTCAGGTCAACCGAAGAACTTCGTATAACAGCATGACACTATCCGGACCTCAAGAAACTGCTATCCCCCCCCCCCCCCCTCTCCCCAGCACAAACACAGACAGAGAAAACACTGTCCCGCAGTAGGCTCTCTATTGTCAGCAGGGGAAGCCAGCACAGCTCTGCAGTGACGGTGAATACATATAGTCCCAGCGGCATCACAGTCGCCACACAATGTTCCCACTCATCACAGTCGCCACACAATGTTCCCACTCAGGAAGACGAAGTAACATGTTAGTTTCCAGTGGTAGCATGACACAAACCACCACAAAAATAAGCACCATAGCTATCTGCTGAGAACGGCTTCACAGACAAAAACACCTAAAAGCGATGTAAAAACAGAACTTTGGACATAGAATCAGGGAAATTCCCTTAAAAGAGTGAAAGGAGTAGAAGATGAACAGAAAAGATGACAAGGCTACAATGGAGGCTACAATGGAGCTTCAAAGTTCTGAAAAAATCCAAATACTAAAAGAAATTCGTCGCAAGAGAAAATAGGTTCGAGTTAGCTTCTCTCGACCACAACTCCTGTGGGCTCACTGCGAAATCCTTACACGAGAGGATAGCTGGCAGAGGTGGCGATTCCGCAGTTGTTGTCACGGTTGCGTGCCATCTCAATGTAGCCGTCCTTGCCCCAGGTGGTTCCCCAGCTGTTCTTGACCAGCCAGTAGTCCTTCTCTCCGTCAACACCATAGCCGACAGCCAGCACACCATGGTCGAGGCGAGTGTGAGAGCAGAACAGATGGTAGAACACGCCGGACTTGTAGTAGCGGAACGAGGAGGAGCTGGCATCGATAGCGACGGAGACGGGTCCCACAGTGGCGACAGCCTCCTGCAGGTCAGCCTCGCTCTCCTTCTTGACATCGGTGTAGCCGCTGACGGTGGCACCGGAGTTGGTCGGGTTGTAGTGGCACTGGCCGTTCTTGGCAGTGTACGGGTAGCTAGCCTGTTACGCATTACACACACACACACACACACACACACACACACACACACACACACACACACACACACACACACACACACACACACACACACACGACAACATAGACACGGAATAAGACAACAAAATTTGCAGATCCACTTACTTTATTTCCTCTCCAACCCCTCAAAAATGGCCCAAAAACACATGCTTTGCGGGTCTACAGACGGAAAAGCAGCTTTGATTGCATTTAACTTCAACTGAAAAGCTTCTTCTAGCGCCATCAACATTGCTTTGTGCGACCGCTGATGCAAAACTGATCGAAATCTTGCCTGCAGTTTCGGAAATTTACAGCAAGATGAATGGAAAAATCGTGGCGGTTCGTGGTGCAGAATAACAATATTTTGATCACGACATGAAGCACACGATTGTGATTGCGCTTAGTGCGCTATTCGTGGTGTTGCATGTCAATGTCAATGTTCGGCTTAGAGCTCCAGCCGACAAGGGATGGATACAGAGCATGTTAGCCACGCTGGTTCATAGTGGCCGGTGCGGGAACAGAACTGCATTGGCTACGCTTCACGCGTGCATGAAGTCAAGAAGCACACAATCACCGATCTTCGTGCTGCATCCTCAGAGTAATGATTTAGCTACATTATGGCGTGCTTTGTCTGCTTAAGACACCGGGACACTTAGGGTGTGGCCGAGCATCCTGGCCCCGCCACCACTTCTCGTGCCTATTCGGCAATACAGTGGACTTTCATATAAAAATATAAAAAGTAAAAGTAAGACTGGGTTTGGCGGCCGTCAACGCAGTCAGTGTACTCCTGAGCCGTGCAACAAGACACACTTGATCTTTTCCACACCAACAGGAGCTCAGTGTAAGGGCATGTGCATGATCAAGGTGAGTCGGGAAAACTCATTCAATGCAACACCTGGTATTCTTGTGCCACAAGGCAAGTGGATTTAACTGTTCCTCTTGCCATAATGTTCAAAAGCTGCAGGCAAGACTGCAGTCACTTTTGCATCATCGCTTGCACAAAAAGGTGTTGGCGGCACAAGGAGAAGCTTGTAGTTTGGAGTGACAAGTGATCACAGCTGCTTTTCCGTGTCTGACTCAACAATACACTTGGTCCTGAAGGGTTGGGATTAATGTAGGAATATACATTGCTGACGATGTGCAGGGGCCAGCTTTCCTGCGCAGGTATGAGTGCAAAAATCAAACTTATTTCAATCAGGCAGAGTGGGCTGGTGTAAGACTGTGATTGAGAAACAAAGGGCACCAGGTTCAAGTCCTGCTTGGAAGCAGAAGGGTATTTTCCAACCTTGATGCGACCAACTGTTTTTCGGGAAATCGTGGCCATTTTGTTCAAGGGCTTTGCACAGTCTATCTACACCCCGAAGCAAAACTACCTGCAACAAGTAGGCGAGATCGGAGAGACTGACTTGGACACATGTCCAGAGCAGTGCCGCCGCTGAGAGTGATGGGCAGAGTGACAAGCAGAGTGATGGGCAGAGTGACAAGCAGAGTGATGGGCAGAGTGACAAGCAGAGCGTATACCGCAATACCATTGCCTATGTTTTCTCTTTCTTATCATATTTCTCCATGTCTTGCCAATCAGTGGCATGGAGAGGAGTTGTGACCCTACAATCAGGACAAAACCGAAGCTCAGAAGCAACACTGCGGTGGGTAGCTCATCAATCAAGAACGTACCTCAGTGTCGATTCCACCGTTCTTCTTGATGTAGGTGAAGCCAAAGTCCATAAGACCACCCTGGCAGCCGTGATTACCTGGGCATGGCGAGAAGAGGAACAGAGGTAGATTCAGAAAGACATTGTCAGTCTGCAGATTCCTTTACACATCTGTAGTAGACGAGGATCAGATGGAAAGCCAAGGATTAAAATTAAAAGAAAGGAACAAAAATGTACCACAAAATAACATGCAACATTTTGTTCATTCTTTTAAATTTAACACCTGCAGTAGCTTAATTTCCTGCTGCCGTCAGCTGCTTTGTTCATTCTCAATCATCTACCAGAAGTAGTCACTGATGAGTTCTGGAGAAAAAACGTCTGTCCAAATGAATCGCTGTCCGTTGGTTGTGGATTGGTTGTGTTTCTATCAATAATCAATTGCCCGTTCCAGCCTGAGATCAGGCGCGTAATCCGCATGGGGCACGGGGGCACCCCCCCCCCCCGAAAAATCTCGATTTATGTTCAGCAAGCACATAATGACCATGAATAGGATACACCTGCCATCCTACAGATATGCAGCCGTGCACCCCCTGAAAGAGGGACCAACTACGCCCCTGTGAGATGTTCTTCCATCTGAGTAGCATGTTGCCTGAATGTTCTTACAATGAACAATCCTGCATGCTGATCTCAATGTAAAGACCGTCACAAGAGGTTTAGTATGGACAAGAATCTACAGTACTGTCGGTTGACAAAGAACTGGGGGGGGGGGGGGTCAGCCTTGTAGCCTTGGCCTTTCTTATTTTCATGTACTACAGTCTAAAAGCACAGTTGAGTCACTGTGTGTGCATTCATATGCTGTGCTTTGTGAAATTCTAGCCTGTTTTTTTCTTCGGCGCTCCATGCTTTGGCGCCCGAAAGTAGTGCATTCCAAAGCCTTACCCTCAGCTTGTGAGCAATCGACCAGATTCTGCTCAGATAGAGAGACGAGCTTGCCGGTCTTCTTGAAGTGTTGTCCCTCTAGTGAGCCAGTGGTACTGAATGCCCAGCAGGATCCACAGGCTGCCTGATTCTTGATTGGGGTGACGTATCCTGTTCATGATAAACGGAGTTGGATAGAAAAGGAAGAGAGGGAGGCAGAGACAGAGCAAGAGCGAGATGGAGAGAGAGAGAGAAGAGAGAGAGAGAGAGAGAGAGAGAGAGAGAGAGAGAGAGAGAGAGAGAGCGAGCGAGAGAGAGCGAGCGAGAGAGATAGAGGGAGAGAGAAGAGTTTGGTTAGCTCAAATAAATTTGAGAACATCAAGTTTTCAGCCCAGTGTAATCAAAAGGTCTATGGGAACCACCAGGCAAAAATTCACATTCCAAATATGACCAGAACAATTTCAAAACTGGAACCCAAGATATGAATCTAGATACTTCCTACAATTGCCCGTTGCCAGAGTGATTTTTTCAAATATATTTTGTCCAATTGCAGCAACATGTGTCACTAGTGTGCTGTGTGTGTGTGTGTGTTTCGCTTGGCCAAGTGCTGTTCTTCGCACCATTTTTCTGCCTCCCGCGTCCCGCCTTGCTACTGCTTTTCACACCTGTAGTAGCTTTATTTTCTGCTACCATGAGCTGCTTCGTTCATTCTCTATCATCTACCAGAAGCAGTCATTGATGAATTCTGGAGCAAAACACTTCTGTCAAAACAAATCGGCATCAATAATAGAGAAATTCAGATAAAATATTTACTAGCTGCGGTACACCACACTTTCCTGTAGAGCCCATTCTTGTCTAGACATATACACCTGATCCATACTTTACTATCTATGATTTACAACAAGGTCAGTCTTTTCGCCTATCAGATGGCCAATCTTTAGAAACTAATACGATATGTATGGCAAGAAATTTCCAGGTTTTCTCTTTTGTTGCGCCTTTCGACTGCGCGGTATAGAATGAGGAGTTCAGTTCGAACACGGGTCAGGTGAAAACTGCAGTCACGATTCCCGTGTACAAGTGCAATGGGCCCCGCATGACAGCTCTTTGGGTAGACTTGCTTCTATCTAATTCCATGGCCAATACCGTAAAGCATAGCGAGAGCACGCCCCCCCCCCCCCCCTTGATTTTACAGTCGAGAGAAGGAACATCGTATAGCAGAGTGCTACTTAATTTGTACGGTGTGAGAACCTTAGTGTGCTAAGGTCACACTTGGCATGTTTTCGTGTGGAGCTCGCGTCCGCTCAAAGGTAAACTGAGTCCGGATTGACTGCCTAACGTGCAATGTTTGTACAAGCTCCGTGTCGTACGACCTCCAGACAGGACACCAGCTCCACTATGCGACCAGGAAAGAACGACATGGCAAGGCGCTCTTCCGGTACTTTACTGTACTCCCCTGTCGATGATGTTTTTAGCTAGCTGAGGTCTTTGCTCATTACCTCTTTATTGATGCCACACATGCCATGCTTGAAAAAATGGAGCCGCGCTTTGCACAGAGCCATAGTGCGCAGTACAGTGGAACTCGGATAAGACGTACCCCTCGGGAGTGGAAAAAATTATGTAGATTCATTTTCCTTTCTACTCCAAGGTACATGTACTTGTTATGCAAAGTTGACTCCTGCGGCCCCAGTAATACGATACATGTGCAGTATGTCAAAATACTCGAAATTATTTGTTGCACTCGGAAGTGTACATGGTTAGTGCCACCAAACCAGGCTTCCCGCTCTGCAAACAGCCTCCTCTGCACTGTGAACATACTAAAGTACTTGTAAACGAAACTGTCAATTGTAAGGGTGTCCAAAAACACAAACAAAATATTACGTAGTATGCAAGGCTACACGAGTCGAATGTCTTATCGGAGTACGTCATATCCGTATACAGTTGTACATGCGCTAATGGGAGGAAAATCGGCGCACCGAAAAAGGACCGTACTAAGCAGGTGTATGTCTTACCCGGGCACGTACAGCTATGGCAAGTGAAATCCGACACTTGGTATAAGCAAGAGTACATAACCCCCAAGAGTGCGCAACTGCCTGCACAACGTCTATGCAGTGCTGCGACGGCAGAACTTTACATCACCTGACATGGTTCAAAAGGTTGCACTGGCAAACAGTGCAAAGTGATCACAAGAGAATTGTACCCAAAGCAGGGTTGAGTACAACCCTGTATCAATCATGCAAAGAGTGCAAATAATGTGTACGGGTTCATCACGTGATGTGAAGTTCTGCCGTCGCAGACCCCATAGCTGGAGTTGCAAACTCTTGGGGGTTATGCCTCATGACAGAATAAGTACTAATCACAGCCAATGTTCACCTGAAAGGTTCAAAGGTGTTTGCAAATATGAATGGGCATTGGATACCATTACTCCTTATGTGTACCATGTCGGTGAACTGTGTGTATCTACCATGTGACCTTTTGACCTGTTTGGGATGCCTACGGCTCTAATGTACTAAATTGTGCTGTCCTGGACGGAAACCACACCAGCCCCATACATACTTTTATTGCTTTCTCTCACTACTCGGGCGATCATTTTCCAAACTACTTCAATCGTCCATAACTCTGAATTGCCTTCGAATTGTTGTTTCATATCAGGTTGTTTCTGACACCTTCCCGGTTACTACTAGCGTTTTATGCAAAACTCGCGATTTTGATTTTTCAAGTGAACTCCCTAGAATCATTCAATGCCCTCGATCGCCATCCATATCAGGCATATGAACCACAAAGCTTGCAAGCAGCCTGCGTGGAGGACATTAATTTAGTCCCTCACCTTTCGAGCGCCAGTCGACGGAGGTGGGCAGATCCTTGGGATCGGTGACGGCCTCGAAAACCTTGCCGGTGCTGTTGCGGCGCAGCTTGGAGTTGTAGCCCAGATACTGCAGGTATTCCTCGTCAGTCAAGTCACCAAACTGGTTCATGCCCAGCGTGAAGCCGTGATCCTCCGTGTTGAACTGGTTGATGTAGTCGTTGGCCTTCGTCCACAACCCGTAGCGCATGTCATCCTCCATGTTGTCCGCGTACTTCTTGCCGTGTTCCATCTTGAACATCTCCCACTCGGCTGCCATTTCCCTGGCAAATCCATGGCCGACCAGGGCAAGGACAAGAATCAGGGCAGCACGCATCTTGAAAAGATCTTTTGGAACGTAAAAAGCAGGAAGAACGAATGTAGACCAATGGCTTTCCAGAAGGAAACTCCAGCTAGTACAACTACAAGATCCGACTTCGGTAGTTGTGCCGAACGGAGAATTTTCTCGAGTCCTCTACCCCATCCCCAACCCGGACCCCGGCCCATCGATCCCACAGTGCCAATGCATGAATGCTCATGAGAATCACGAGGCACGCCATGTGCATCATGTGCATCCGTCAAGGCGTCAACCGCGTCTGAGCAGGAAAATCACATCGGTTCCGGTCAGCTTTAGCTATTCAATGGGATTTTAAGGGAAATTCCATGGCAAACCTGACTGTTCTCGCTTTCTGCTGGCTTCAAGTCAAGATGACCACGTGAGTTTTTGACACCATCACTCATCATGCATCAGCATGATGCCATGGCCTAGCGCGGGCTAGGGCAGGGGCCTAGGATGGCTAGATTCTAGGCTAACGCGCGTATGCCATGCATGATTTTGTCAACTGGTGAGTGGTGGCACGCACGCGTGCACGACACTGGCCGCAAAAACTGAACAGTCATGCACGCTCGGCTGTTCCTGAGCTGATAATGAGCCTTGTGAGTGAAGCCTGAATAGCCTTGTGAGTGAAGCCTGAATGAAGGCTGTTGCTGAAGCCGAGTGTAGGTTGTGAATGTGAATGTAGAATTCGCTATTCACCTCCAAAAGCAAAATTTACGGTTACCGGTATCTGAATATGAGGGGAAGGACTGGAATGCAGGTAGGGTGATGGTGACATGGGTGAGTGGAACCAAGAGCGCATAACCTGTACTCTTGGTGGAACTAGAAAGGTAGACAAATAAAATAAAAGATCAGCTATGAAAAGTGATTTTTAGTCGATGATGTCTTTATGATGGTACCAATAGGATGACTCGATAGGTGCGAGGGCAAGTTAGTAGCAGCAAGAGTACTCTTGATAGTAGTGCAATAGACGCTTTATCTTTTTTTAAATTTTTAAATAGCACATACATGTACATGTACCTGTAATATTATGTGAGTCTGACATACATGTACGTACTCTGCAGAGGCTGGTCATGCATACTGAACTTGAATGCGAGAACTACTGAGTACTAGTAGTAGTAGTAGACCTCAAACGGAGCCGAAAGCCTCACTTTTCGCGCACCTCCAGTGGCCCAGCCTCGCATGGCGAAGACACATTCAGTGCCTTCTTGAGCTCCACCACCTTATCAATAGCCAGATGACGACCCTGGAGGACCTAGGCTACTCAGTGTCAAACAGCGCCAGGCGCCCCCAACACCTACTCCCACCTGCTAGAGCCAGCACACACACCCGTACCACCTTTCTCTTTGTCACCACTGCCACATGGAACTCCCTCCCGGCTGCCATTCGTACTGTATCCAGCCCAAAATGTTTTACCGCTCTTGTCCGCACACACTTTGCTATCACCCGTTATGAGCCCTCTGGTTTCATTCCACGTAGAGTAGCGATGTCATAGAGCACTGTGTTATATTACTACCACCCCGCATCATTCTATTTCCTATTTTTATTTTTCTCCTCAGCTTCTTCTTCATAAGCTGTTGACGGAGACTCCCTCGATTTAGGCTAAGGCCTGTCGGTGGAGAATCCATAAATACAAATACAAAATACAAAATACCTACTGTCCTCTCTCCAGACTGTCCAGTCCACACCACAGCTATGTGTACATGTATACAGTGGACTTGTACAGTGCTGGCAATTCAGTGAAATCCGACCCCTGAGCGATGCGTTCGTATTCTAGCGGTCTCTATTTACTACCATTCATGCACCATTCATTGCACCACTCATGCACCATTCATTCACCACTTCCCGACCAAGGCCTCAAGGCCAAGGCAAGGGGCATCGCTTTCTCTGTGAACAATACTGTAATCCGCTGTACATGTTTGTTTTTTAAGAGTAAGTATTTAAACGTTATGGTGTCTGTTCCCGAAAGGAACTCACTAGGCATTGGCGGATAATGCTCGAAAAGGTGGCAGATTCTGCTCGAAAAACAGTGAAATTGGCAGAACCATACAAACCTTATGGCGGGCAATTCCTCGAATTCTGCTCCATTTCTTTATCCACATACCAAACATGCATGAAACTTACCAGAAAAAGGACCGAGTTCTGCCAATTTTTCTGCCGGCATTCTCCTCATACGCCTAGAACTCACGATGTCCGCCAACACCTGCGGTAAACATGTTTATTCTGTGGGATATAATAATTTTGAGCCCGTGGCACGGTACACGCAACTCGCAACACACGAACAGTCCCTAGCTACACCACGTACAGTAAATTGTCCAAATTTTTCATCCAGGAGGGCGTCATCATCATCAGGGATAAATTTGGACATTTGACTGTACGTGGTGTAGCCCAAGACTGTTGGGTGTTGCGAGTTGGGTGCACTGAAAACATGACAAGGCTACAATGGAGTTTGAAAGTAATTAAAAAGACATATTAATACAAGTCATATTGCGAGATAGTGGTAGCGACTTGGGCGATGATTTCATAGGAGCAGATCTTTTGGAAGGTTCGATGGGCTTCTCTTGTGCTCTGGATGGCAGTCGTGAGTCAGTCGGCGGAAAAGCGCCAGCTCCGGTATGGGGAACACCTTTCCAATAGCACAGGACTATACATGAATATTCACTGTTATATTGATTGATTACGAGTGCAACAACGCTTAGTGGTAGTGCATCGATAGCTGGCCATACTGATAATGATAATACGCAAGAGAGAGAGAGAGAGAGAGAGAGAGAGAGAGAGAGAGAGAGAGAGAGAGAGAGAGAGAGAGAGAGAGAGAGAGAGAGAGAGAGAGAGAGAGAGAGAGAGAGAGAGAGAGAGAGAGAGAGAGAGAGAGAGAGAGAGAGAGAGAGAGAGAGAGAGAGAGAGAGAGAGAGAGAGAGAGAGAGAGAGAGAGGGAGGGAGGGAGGGAGGGAGGGAGGGAGGGAGGGAGGGAGGGAGGGAGGGAGGGAGGGAGGGAGGGAGGGAGGGAGGGAGGGAGGGAGGGAGGGAGGGAGGGAGGGAGGGAGGGAGGGAGGGAGGGAGGGAGGGAGGAAGGGAGGGAGGGAGGGAGGGGGAGGGAGGGAGGGAGAGAGGGAGAGAGAGAGAGAGAGAGAAAGAGGGAGAGAGAGAGAGAGAGAGAGAGCGAGAGAGAGAGAGAGAGAGAGGAGGGAGAGAGAGAGAGAGAGAGAGAGAGAGAGAGAGAGAGAGAGAGAGAGAGAGCGAGAGAGAGAGCGAGAGAGAGAGAGGGAGAGAGATTGAGTTGAAAACGGGAAACGTGCGAAAGAAAAGATTGACTGTAAGGCAAGTAGTGTAAGCATCAGGACTTGAACCTAGGACCATCGCTTATGGCCAGCATTGCTCTACCACTAAGCTTTGGTGTAATGCCACTAATGGTCATCATTTCAAGAGGAAATAATTTCGACGCATCCTGCAGCTTCATTCCTAGAGAGTAGTACTACTAGTAGGGTGGATACACCCATTCCCACAGCACTGCAAAACCAAACCGATTCCTTTTATGTACAACGTTTCGGCAAAATTGCCATCGTCAGGTACGAAAATGAAGCAATGATGCAAGAGGAATAATTATTATCATTTACTCTGTGGGACATTAAATGTCACAGAGTAAATGATCTGTTGTTTCGGATGAAGAGATTATTCACGAGAAAAAAGAATCCTTCGAAGCCAAATAATTCTGGCGATTGCGTTGCCTTGTCTGTGACCAAGTGGAAGAAAATATTTTACAATTTAGAGACACACACCCCAGCTCACCGTGACCCATGATCACCGCGCTACCAGCTTCCTACCCAGGAATGAATTACTCAACTAATCCCCGCGTGAGTACCACAGATAGGTAAACACTACTTCTATCAGCGGTTTGTTTCCAATTCCTTTTCCCTCGTTTGGGTGTCCCTTTTGTGTGGGTATCCCATGTGCAAAGGACTATCAGCCTTGCTCCGCTGTTTTTTTCTGTGTTGTGCAACAACCTTGTAAGACCGACCTGTAAATATATCCCTTTTATACCTTGGATTTACCATACTTGTAGTTGGTGCTTAAATGTCCCTTTTATTGAAATGAAAATGAGGATTTCGAAGACTTTTTGTTGGCCATCTTGACTGTGATGCGAATGGCTGGATTGACACCATTCCACTACCTCAGCCTTTTCGTCTAGATCCGGTTGCCTGAAGAGAATCAAGTACTGCCATTAAGCAAAGGTATTAGATATAACGAGTTCAAAAACCAACTCGCGGTAGTGGTGGTGGTGGAGGTGGTGGTGGTGGTGAGTACCGCCAAATACTCCCTGAGCCTCTCCCACTAGCATTCGGGGTGTACTGGAGATTCCCACCCCGATACCGCGTATCTGCCGATCAGTGGGGCTGGTGGTTGAGTGGAGAGTGAAAAGCCCGCCAAAAGGCACTAGCATGTTGATGCAGGCAGCAGTAAACAAAAACAAACATTTTTTAAGGTTAAAGTGAAGTTCCAGAGGTGCAATTAGCTATCGTCAAACAGTCGTTCAAAGACATGTACGGAGACAAGACAAAAACTCTGCAGGTGGCCAGCGCTTGCTCGCAAAAATCACTGTTAGAGCGTAGTGCTCAAACAAGGAACAAATGCTATGCTGGCATCGTCAAGGGTTGACTGTATCAATGATAGATAGAACATACGACGACGTTCATGGTTATGTTCTTCTTGCCATGTCTGAATGCACCTAGCTTCGGGTGTACCTTCTGCAGCACGCTCTCAATCTGTAGGTCGAAGGCTAAAATAATGGTCGTCGATGAGGATTAGGCATCAGCGGGTAATGCTAGCATTAAAACTAGCATGATGGGGGTGTTCGCAGAGGGGGGCATTGCCCCGGCATAATGAGGCTTTTTTGGAGAAACTAGCATAATTCGCGATTTTCAGCAGTACTCAGCAGTACTCCCTGATCAAATGCCTGTACATGTACGTGCCACGTGACCATCCCAACGCAAACTATACCATCGCGTACAACGATGTTGCCTTTGTTGGAGTAGAAGTAGTCTACCACCGATCAATCAATTTTTCCACGCATATCTTTATACCTACTTTGGAAACAGACTTTTTCGCGTACTCTCCTG